AAAAAGTTGAGAAGAATTTAATAATTTTTAAAAAAAATTTATTAAAATTTAGAAGTGCAAAAAAATTTTTTTTGTAATTTTTAGGTAAATAAACAGGTGAATAACCCAGAGTTTTGTTTAAAATTTTAGTATAAACAGAAACATTTTGTCTAGTAGCCTAAATAAACGAAACCAAAAATAGTAAAAATTTAAGAAAATGAAAGTGCTGGACTAGAGTTGGGCTATAGCTATGTATTTCTCTCCTTCAGCTAGTGCAAAAGATTAATCGGCAGCTGGGAGCGAACCAGCATCTTCAATAGACCGGACTGATGTGTTAGCCATTACACCACGCCGCCTACTGCATACCAGGGCTGGGCGTAATGAAAAAATAAAAAGCAAAATGCGAAACTCTTCGCGCTAAAAAATGCGAGAATGCGAAACGCGAAAATGCGAAATATGCTTTACGTAATAAACTTAGATAAAGCTATTTACCGGAATTAAAAAATAAAGTAAAAAATAATTTCCGGTAACAAAAATCAAAAAATTAAATTTTAATAAGGCTTCCCTACAATTTAATTAAATAAAATTAAAGAAACCAACTAAAAAATAAATTAAAAAAAATATTTTTTGAATAACAAAATTTGCAGGGGGAATATTTTATTTAAAATATTTAATTAAGTTAATCTTTATATTTTTTATATAATTAAAATTAAATCTTCTTAAATTTATTAATAAAAAGAATTAATTAAATTTAAAAAAAATATTGTTTATTATAGGGAAAACTTTTTAAAAAAATTTTTTTTAATAATTAAAAAAATAATAATTATTATTTCCGGTATTAGTTAAAATAAATTAAAATTAAAAATTAATTAAAAAAATTTTTTTGTAAAATTAATTAAATAGACTAGGTAAATATAAATATTTGTAGTTAAAATTAACAAGTCTGCAGAAAAAAAATATTTTTTCGAAGTTTAAAAATAGAGAAGAATGGAAAAAAAAATTTTTAAAGGTAAAAACATAGAAAATTGGCATTAGAAAAAAATATTTTTTAAAGAAAAATTGAAATTAAATAATGTGTTTTAGGCAGCTATTGTGTCTTAGACGCTTCCCCTTCCCAAGAAAAATTTTTTTTAATTTTCTAAATTAACTCCTTACCAAAACAAAAATTTCTTTAGGCAAACAACTTCCCATATAAATATTAATTTGTCTATTAACTACATCCAAATCATAATTTTTTGAAGCATTTTCTATTAATTTAATTTGAGGTTGTGGAAATTTAATAAAGCCTGGAGATAGAGGAATTATTTGTTGAATAAAATTAAATTTTGTTCCATCAGGTAATAAAGTGAAAAAACCCTTTAAAAATAAAAATTAGAAAGAAAAAGTTTTTTGAAAGGATTTTAGGGAGTTTAAGTTATGGGAGAAAGAAACTCATTAATCCCTGACCTTCCATAAAAGAACGTCAGATGAGCATGTCAACTAACCTCATTGTAACGGTTAGCCTTATGACAGTCTTATAATACCGGTACTTGTGGTTATTTAGCCGGCAACCACGTTCTTATGAACTGGCCCAGGACCGTCCTCAATTGAAAGAAAAAAATTTTACGAACCCCCAATACGTGCCCACGGTCCAATTTTAAATTTAAAACAAAATCCTGGGACTAAAATAAAAAATCTAGACTAATATACAGTTGAGAATGAAGCCCATCACAAGGTTAAACGTTCGCTTAAATGATTTTTCGTTAGGAAAATGGCACAAGATAGAGAAAAAAATTTTGAACGTTTGGACTAAACCAATTATTTACCCCATATGTATAAGTAATATTGATAATGTTCTGGACTAATAAAAATCAGTAAGTACCAGAAATCCTCCCGACCAAAAATGGCATCCCCAATATCGGGAAATCGAGATCCCGACCCAAAAAACATCGGGAATTCCCTTATTTTTTTGGGAATCAGGACGACAAAATCTCTAGAGTAAGTACCTCTTTAATGCCAGAAAAAATAAATTGATTATTATTTTGTTCAAAAAATATTTGAATAGGTAAAGGTTCTCCCCCTCCTTCTTCTGTTGTTTTTCCAAGAGAATTCCACAAAGTAAAACAAATTTTAAAAGAATATCCAACTTGGAAAGGATAATCAAAATTGTTGTTGTTTTCATTAATTAAATTAATTTGTAAGGAAATTTGTGAAGAATAAAAGGGAAGTTGTTTTATAGAGATTAATGAACGAATTGGTTCTAATGAATTTTGACTAGAAAAAAAAAGAGAAATGATTAATTTTATTTAAATTTAAAGCTAAAATGGCATCTTTAGAGTGTCGAAATTTCAATTTTGTTTGTACCCCCTTCCCAAGTATTTCTGTCCCGGTACCATAAATGATACTGTCGAGAGAACGGTGTTACGGCAAATGCGGATGACAATTCCGGATTTAAAATTTATTAAAATTTGTTAAGAAGCTATTTAATTCTTAAAGTTGTGCGGCGTGGTGTAATGGCTAACACATCAGTCCGAACTACTGAAGATCCTATTTCGTTCCCAGCAGCCGAATAACCTTTTGCACTAGCTAAAGGAGAGAAATAGCTATAGCCCAGCTGCTTTACTAATTTTCAAAAACTTTGAAATGAGCTCTTGTTTCTTTAGTCCCAGCTGTCAGGTTCCGACCTCTGATGGTTTCCGAATCATTTCTAGACTGACTCGGCACTGAAACCTTAAAAAAAATCCTACTTTTTAAAAAAATTTAAATCGGCAATCGCCTTCCGGAATTATCGTACCGCCAAAAGAACCACTGTTAACGTAAATAACCTAAAAGAGCCCTGAGCTTCTATTTTTCAATACCCCTCATCGAGTGGGCTTCTAATAAAGAATGGGTTTCTATTAGGTATGGGCTTCTATTAGGATGGTTACTGCTATGTTTGAGCTATGTTGAGAAAAAATCTTTTTTAAAACCCTCTCCCACCTTCTCCATTCCACAATAACTTCTCCAATAGAAGATTGTTTTGAATCTTCCCCAATAATTTCAGGTAATATTTCAACATAAATGTCATTTTTAAATAAATTAGAATTATTTGTTTCATCTGATATAATTCCCAATTTTTTATATTGTTCATTTAATATTTGAGAGAATGGAGGATATTCACACGATTTTGTTGAATTATCGTTCTAAAAGTTAAGAAAAAATTTTTTTGAAAAATTTCCACTTCAATTTTTCACCCTCCTGGTTCAAAAGGTTGTATCTTATAATGGGCGTATCTTATATTGAATGTATTTTATAATGAGAGTATATAAAACAGAGTGTATTCACTTGAGATGTAGCTTAGGCAACTCCCTCCCTCTCCAAAGTCAATAATGAGAGTATCTTATATTGATGTATTTTATAATGAGAGTATCTTATAATGAGAGTATCATATAATAAGAGTATCTAAAATAGAGTGTATTCACTTGAGGTGTGGCTTAGGCAGCTCCCTCCCTCTCCAAAGTCAATGTTACCGAAAACGTGTCTTAAACCGAGGTGTATCTAATTCTTAAGGTGTCTCTTATAAGAAATCTAACTGTATTTTTAAAAATCTCTACTACCAAATTCCATTTAATATTCAATATTTCAATTCCTTCCAAATGATCTATTAAAAGAGAAAGTCTATAACGTTGTCCACAGATAAAATATTGAGGTATTTCTCCCTTGAAATTTTTAAATTTTAAAATATTCTTTAACTTCTACAAACATTTTCGGAATAAATTGAAACGTCTCCAGTAAAAGGTGTTAAACAAGAAACATAAAAATCGTGTAAAGACTCAACTGGTTCTCCATCAGAAAAGAGAAAGGCTGAAATCTAAAAGAGGAAGAAATAAAAACAGAAAAATGTCTGTTCCGGAAAATGTCTCTCTCATAAACACACACTCTCTCGGTCTATAAATAATTCCGGAAAATTCTGATTAGAAACAGAATACATTTTTCCGGAAAAAGAGAGAACAAAAAAGAATTTTAGAGAAGCAACAGCTGACATGAGTATTTTTTCCTCATTATCAGTCAAATACCTTAATATTTGTCTGTTCCGGAAAATGTATCTCTCATAAACACTCTCTCTCGCTTCTATCAACACTTCTGGAAAATTCAGATTAGAAATAAAACGTATCTTTCCGGAAAAAGAGAAAAAAAGCATTTTAGAGGAGCAAAAGCTTCCCCATTATCAATCAAAATATGTACCTTAATATTTAGAGCAACACAATTGTTAGATTTTGATTGTAATCGGACAGAGAAGTCAATCTTAAATTTGAAAAAAAAAATTTAAATTTCCAATGTACGAGAAAAATTTTTATTTCAGACTCTAATGGCACCTTAATATATGTACTAGTACAATTCTCCCCTTTCTCCCTTAATTTCTCCTTTCTTTTATTTCCTCTTCTCTTTTATTTCTTTTATTTTTCTCTCTGCACATACACTCTACTGCCTATTTCTCTTTAACAAACAAACAGAACAAATAGACTAGACAAACAGAGAAAAGAAATAGTAAACAAAATTCTCTTTCGTCTCTATAACTCTTTTACAAATTATCCAAAACTTTAAAAAATAAATTAAAGTGTTCAGCCGATTTTTCAGTTTTAATTGGGACTGTACTTCTCAGGATCATTTCTGTAGTACGTATTCCTTTGCGGAGACGCAAACTGCTTCACTAAGCACCCTCGATGAAGAGGTTAGGCGTTGTCCCCTGAGCGTGAAGCTTGTTGGGGCGGTGCCAAAATTTTGGATGCCCTGACGTTGAAGACCGTCAGCTGGCCCCTTCTGGGGTCGGCTATGGGGGCAACGCTCTCTGAGCGGGTGCAATCTTTTCCTTACAATATGAGGAGTTCCGTGTAAACTTTACCGATTTTTCTTTAGCCAAAAATTCGATAATTTCTTGATTAAAAATAGGCACAAAAGTGTATCCATGGACTGTATCATTTAAATTAAGTGTATTTAAAATTGGTGCTGAACCAAATTTTTGTTGAACCACTTTTCTTTGTTGTTGAATATTCGAGTCTTCTTCACAATAAACTTTTTGGCAAATAATTCTTAAAAAGGCATAATTAATCAAATTTTTTTCAAATATTTCAAACCTAACATTATTCAAATCTTCACATTCTTCCAAATTATTTAATAATGAAAAACCAATTTCAATTGATTCGTCTATATACAAATTTATTTTGTTAGGAGGACCGACAATTGAAAATCTCTTTTGGCGAGGGATAACTCTAAAAAATAATTTTAAGAAGAAAATTTGCATAAAAATAGGAGAAACAAGGAAAAAAATAAATTTAAATCAAGGATCAAAAGGGAGAATAAAAATCCTGGAAAGTATCTTCGGTACTAGTGATAACTGAAAACTTTGCCGGAGCCTATACCGGGTCTGTGGTTTTGGATATATCAGGATTTTTTTGATTCAGGACCACAACCATATTCTTTACAGGCAAAATGAAACCAAACTAAAAAAGATTTTTGTGGAATTCTAGTAGCTACCCGGGGGGATGTTTTACCCGATACTCGGGCTCTCCTCATATGTAACTAAATGAAAAAATATAAATCCCGACCAAAAAATTCTTTCTCAATCCTCCCCATCTTTAATATCATGTTTCACTGGAAGTTCCGTCTCCGGGATCCGGAACTCAAAATAGATCCGGTTCCGGTACATGTCGAAATTTCGGTTCTGCTGAAACCCTACTTTATATATGTAGGTATGTATACCTGACTATCGAATTTTCAACGAGATAGCAAGAATTATCAACTAACGATTGAGTTGACTTAACATTTTCCCAAATAAAACATCCATTGGGTAATCTAACAGCAAAGCTACGAATCTTTAAAAGAAAAAATTCCCTCTAATATTTTCTCTTCTCTATACTCACACAAATATCCAAATAAATATTTTTATTGCCAGAAGAAGGACTCTGTGCCCGATTTTGTTGTTTATTTAAATTTTCTTCAAAAAATTCTTTCCCGATTTTTGGCTTTAAAATAAAAAGGAGAGCAATTTCTTGATTTGGATTTAATAAAATTGAGGAGGAATTGCTCTCTTTATTATCACAATTAATTAGACTCCAATTATCTAAAGTAATTAATGTTTTTCCACTAATTGGAGAAATTTGTTCCAAATAAATTGTACAATTGGCAAGGTTAAGTGACAAACAAGAATTGTTTTTAAGAAGAACCTGAAAGAAAAAAGTTAGCAGTTAGATAGGTAGACCTTTAGAGCAGGGCTTCGATCTCGAATTTTAAAAAATATTTAGGATCGTCATCGACCTATTAAAAAATCACAAAATGAGGAAAAATCCGCAGAAATCGAAGCCTTGCTTTAGAGATGTACTCCGACCCCGTTCCCGAATGATTTTTTTCACAATTCTCCCCGGCTCGAACCCGCCCTGAAAAAAAGTGATAACCCCGTTCCCCGACCCAAAAAGTTTGGGGGTTTTGGTTAAAAAAATACACCAAAAAATAGATCGATTTAGGATAGGTAAATTGTTAAACAAAATTGTAAAAATGCAAGTTAAGGTGCATAACTGGATTTAAAGGGCTATCGAGGAGGGGGGAGGGGGGGGGGGGGGGTTTGGAGGAATTAAAAGAGATATTGCAGGATTTGGACGATTAAAAGGAATATCAGAAATTTTGTGGAATATCGAGAGATATGGGGGATATTACGAGGGGATATATTACGAGGGATGTTTGAAAATTGGGGTTATCGAGCGATTAGAAGAATTTGGCAAGGATATCGAGGAGTTTTGAGGATTAAGAAGGGTTGGGGGAAATATTGAGGGATTATATCAATTTATACCTCAATAGGTAAAGAATCTCCAGAACGTATATTTAAATATTTATTTTCATTGTCTTCCTCAAATTCTGTTGTTTTGTTTATATTAACGGGCAAAAAACGTATTTTACAATTTAAAAAAGAATAATTCCCCAGTTGACTCAATTCTAGTTGAAATAAATTTTGCTGTCTTCTCCCTTCATTAACTGATAAATTTTGTTCCCATTGGGGACGAATAGAACAAATCTGTAAAGTTGAATTTAAACAAAAATTATCATCATAAAAGCTTATGTATTAAAACAATTAAGGTAAGAGCAAGGGCGTAGCTAGGGGGCTTCTAGGGCTAAAGCCCCCCCCCCATTCCCCCGGAATGAGAAAAAGGGAAAAATTTGAGGAGGGGCTTGAAGCAAACGCCAAAATTTTGCCCCCCCCCCTCCCCTCAAATCGACCATCTGGCTAGGCCCTTGGGAAAGAGACAAATTATGAAGAAAAAAATGAAGGAAATTGTTTTAAAATTTATTTTAAAGATTCGAAAAAAATTATTCTCAGATAACCCGAACCAACTGAAGCAAAACCAAAAAATTTCAGAAATTCTGAACTTCCAAGAACCAAAACGAAAAAACTTTTTCTTGGTTTTGTTCGCCCGCTCCAAAAGTCGAAAACTTTGGAATCCCTATAACTTTTCGATTTGGGGGTCGGAGCCAAAAAAAAGCCAGAAACTATAATAGGTTATCGACTACGCTCTAAACGATGGTATAATTTTTATTTAAAAATTTTTACTGACAGTTCGGAAGGTCCCCTTATAAGTCTTTTCCCTTATAGCCTAAAATATCTAAATAAAAAATAATAAAGAAACCTCTTCTTCATAAAAAGGAGAATTAGGTAAAATAGGAAAAGGTATAGAAGAATGTCCAGAAAAATAATTTTGAGCATTTTCGAGTAAATTAGGTTCTATTAGAGAAGATAAATTTGTCATTTCGGAGTGAAGTAGTTGGACCTTTAAAAGAAAATTTTCTCAAAATATTTAAAAAATATTAACTATAGCCAAAATCCACTCATTAATATTTAAAGAGCAATAAGCACAATTAGCCATTAATACAAGTACATTACGCAAAAGTGAATAAAATGAAGATGTACGAAGTTCTGTTGAAACGTGTTGGAGAATCTGAAGAAAATTTTTAAAAATTTGAAAAAAAAATATTTTGGTGTTTTTGCAAAAAAAGTTTTTTTCAGAAAAATTTTTGGTTCTATTTGAGTATTAAATTCTCATCTAAAAATTTTTGAATACCTCCCTCGATTTGTGAAAACATTTACTTACTGATTGTGAGAATTCCTAGCCTCCGACTTTTGTAAATTCTCCTGTTTTGGTCAACAGGATCCCAGTTGCAGATAATTAAACTGGTACTAAATATGGCAACCAGGGATCCTGCCGTCCCGATTCACCAAAATCGGAAATTCCCGACGATTTTCTGGGTTGGGATACCAATTTCCCAAAAACGGGAATTTTTTTTGTCGGCAGTATCCCTGATTAGGGTTGCCGTTTTCGGTTCGAGCCGACGTTCGGTGCATATTTTAAGGTTTGGTTTTTTTTGATTCGGTTCGTTTTCGAGCTGAAAAGCCTCGGCTCGCTCGATCTTTCGAGTCTCGGGTCGAGCGAGCTGGCAACCCTATCTCTGAAGCAACCCCTCCCGCTCTAAATTCGGTCCCAGAAGATAAAGTGTTATAAAAAAGGATCTCAATTGAATTCAAATTCTCTTTTAAAATTTCCAAAAAAACCTGTAAAGAATTCCCAAATTGTTTAAAACAAATATATTCTTCAGCTATATTTAAATAAGACAAAGTCGCAAATCTTTTACAATGATAACGCTTAAATTGGCCAATTGCGGCAGAAAACAGTTGAATTGATTGGGAATAATTCTCTTGAATATTTTGCTTTAAAAAGAAATTAATTTTTAAAATAAAATTTAAAAAACTTCAAGAAAAATTTTAGCGGCGTGTTCCACCAACTGTAAATTTCCTTTCATTTCAGCCAAAATTGTTTCATTATTTAACCACGGTCTGTGACCAAAATAAATTGTTGGGGCGTTTAAATCTTTAAAGAAAATAAATTTTAAGGAAATTCAATACCAAATCCTATATGAATCTTTCTACAATTTTTGGATTATTTCCTAAACAAATAGAAGAAATGAGCTAGAAAAATGGGACTTTAGGGAACGAAAGAATAATTTTACTGACATGAGATCAAATTAGAGACCGGCGCGAAACGGGATCCCGACGGTATTTTCCGGGATTCTGATCCCGAAATCCCGGATTTTTTGATTTTCGGGATCTTTCGGCCCCCGAGATTTTTTGAGATTCGGATCACGTCCCGGCATCAGTTAAGAAAAAAAGATCCCGGAAGTGCGATTCTGCCGGTCTCTAGTTCAAATGACTTATAATGGATAAAATATTCCCCATTTTTAGTGTGAAAGTTATAAAAATATTAACGAGTTCAACTTATTGGGTGTAAAATACTCAAAAAAATTTTTATCGGATCATATCACTCTGATAAACAATTATACCCTTTGGGTCATTACTTTTACACCCCACTTCATAAAAAAACAGTTTTTATTTAAAAATATAAACCTAAATTAATTGAACATGTTTGTCTTTGTTGTTGAGCATTTTTTGCTTTTAATTGTCGAATTAAAGAATTTGCCTTTTTTAAATGAGAAGCAGCTTCTTCCAAAAAACGTCCAGGATTTTGAGAGGCATAAGCAGCTACTCCATTTGAGACAGCAAAATTAAAAAGATCCGCAAAAAGGCGATTCTGTTGGGGAAAAATTAAATAAATTTTTAAAAAATTATAAAATGAAAATTCAAAAAAAATAAATTTTTGTTTGAAAATTGTAAATTTTGTGTTTAAACCCCTTCAAAAATTTTTGAGAAATAAGAAAAAATTCCAAAAAACCAAAATAAAAAAAATTTTATCTTAAAAATTAGGATTAAAAATTTTTTTTTAATTTTCAATCATAATCAGGGTTGAGGGCCCGATCCGAAAGATCGAGTCGAGCATTAAATTTTGGCCTGAAAAAGGCTCGGTCAAGCCGGTCCGAAAAAATGAGGCACGAAAAAAATGACGCGAACGTCGGCCCGACCCAAAAACCCCAACCCTAAAAATAATCATAATTTTTTTAAACATTTGCCGATTAAACAATTTTGAAAATTGTTCAGTATTTTAAAAAAAATTTTTCGAAATTAAAAATAAAAATAAAAAAATTGATAATATTTTGGAAATATTATTAAAAAAAAGATTTTTTTTTAAAAACCTGTTGAGATTTCCACAACACAAATTCAATAATAGCCAATTCCTTACTTGGATAATTCCCCATTTGTCGATTGAAAAAATTACTGGAATGTTTTCTAAATTGATTGAGGGCTTCTAATGGGCTATTCAAAATAAAATTTAATTCACAAATCTGTGGAAGAAATTTTGGGAAAAAATTAGAAATTAAAAAAAACCTTATAATTTAAAAATCCAGCAATATTAATCAATTCGTAAATAAATAATTCCAACATTTCCAAATCTGCAGCTATTTGATATGCTTGTTTATAATATCTTTGAAAATAAAAAACTTTTTTTAAATCAAATGGGGGTCAGGGAAGAAAACCCAAAAATTGGTAATAGGTTATCGACCATGTTCTATACAATGGTGCAAAAAATATACAAAATTTTCCCAGACAGTTCAAAATGTCTCCTTGTAAATTTAATATTTTTCATGGGTCAGAGAGGAGATGGAATTTTCACACAAGAGACAGGAATTCCCCAAATTCAATGGAAAACTACAATTTAAAAAAACATTTCTATTAAAATAATATCCAATATTTTCAAAAAAGAATGTGCCGGATTGCTTGTGAGAAAGGAATAGGGTAGGACAAGACGGGATTTTTGAAAATTTCTCTGACGGGGACCGGAAAAACACGGCCATCTCTTTTGCAAACATGAAAAAGGATATCAAGAATGGGATCTTTAGATAAGGGTCTACACATAAATTTAATGTATTTTATTTTTATTATTCGAAGATAAAAATTTCTAATTTATTTAGAAATGTACTACGCTAATGGATTAATTTTTGTAAAAAATATTTTTAAAATAACCTTAGCGAAGAATGTCTATCTTCTCTAAGTTCTGATATAAATGCCAATTTAAATTGTTGTCTTAACAAGACTTGTTGGTCATTATTTGGGACACTTCTAGCTCTAATCTTTTTGAAATAGGCCTGGTAAGCCTCCTGAAAAAAATTTTTAAAATCAGAAAATTTCAAGAAAAAACCTGTGCAATCTGATAAAAAGCAATTTCCAACCGAACAATACATTCTGCCGTAGCTTTTTTGTCCGTCAACAGAGGAAAAACATAAAATTGCCTGGTTGATATTTTACAAAATTGACAAATTTCAATTGCTTTTTCTGTGGCAATAGAGTCGTCAACGGTTGTTTTTGCTTTTTGAATTAATACTAAAGCTAGTTTTGTTTCTAATTGGCCAATTGATTGCCTTTAAATTTTGAAAGATTTTTTAAATTAAAATTCAAAAACTTCATTAAAATTTTTTCTTTTTTAAAATTATTTTTGAAAAATTATTTGATTTTTTAAATTTTCAAAAAAATTCCAGAAATAAAAAAAAATATCTGAAAATCAGAAAAATAGAAAATATTTTTCAGAAATACTTAAAAAAATGAAAAAAAGGAAAATACTCACACGAAGAGTTTGCGAGGTGTCCTCGCAACTTTGGCGGAAAAACGGCTCAAAATCCTTGCTAGAAAGGGCACATTCTCTATCGAATGAGCCTGGTCTCGACCGTTTTTAGGTCGGACACCTCGTAAACTCTCCTTGGCTGTCCCAATTCAATTTTCCTTTTATATTTGTTTTTTTCTTTTTTAGAGTATTTTTGAAAAATATTTTTTATTTTTTTAATTTTCAGATATTTTTTTCATTTCTGGAATTTTTTAGAAAATTTGAAAAATCATTTTAGAAAATTATAATCCGTTAAAAAATTCCTTAAACATATTTAAAAATAAAATTTTTTTAAAGATTGATTCAAATTTAACCTCAAAACATTAAGCCTCGACTCGCATTCATTTTTCTGTTGTTGCCACATATCGCTGTCCCAATCCAAATCAATAAACAAAACAATTAATGCCGGCCTCTCATCCAAATATTTGTATTGCCAATTATATTTAATTATTCCGCGAGGTTTGTTTTTAATTGAAATTGAGTCGTTTGGAGGAGTCTAAAAAATAAATTTTTATTTCTTAAATAAATTGGAATGAATTTTTAACGGTAAAAAAACTAAAAAAAATTAAATTTGGTCAATAAATATACTGAAAATTAAATTGATATATTATTCAAAATCAAAAAAATGGAACAGGAAAATAGCCAAGGAAAATATTTGATGAGGAAAATTATTCAAAAATCCGGGAAAAATTAAATCTTGAAAACCCCTGGATCAGAAAAGTGAAAAAAAGTGTAGGGAGGGAAAACAAAATTTAAAAACAACATTTAAAAAAATTTAAAAAAATAGACAGAAAAAGTAAAAATTCAAAGGTTGTCAAATTTAGTTTATTAAATTTTAATCAAAAAATATATATTATTGAAGGAAAGACCACTAAAAAAGATAGAAGAAAAAAATAAAAAATGGCCAGAAAAAAAAAATGAAAAATGAAGAAGGGAGCAAACTCCAAACTCTTACCCTTTTATTTAATTTTAAAAAAATTCAAACCTTTTTTGAATTATTCCTCTTAAAAAAATCATCTCCATAATTAAGAATTTTATATTGGCATTGAACCGATCTTTCCCTTTTTAAATCTGTAAAAGCATTGAAAATAGCTTCATGATGAGCACATTTGCCGTTTAATTCAAGTCCATTAAAAAATATTAAGCCTCGAAGACAATTATTTATTAAACGGGAATCGATTTCCTTTGGTTCCATCTGAAATTGAGAAAAAAAGAAAAAAAAATTTGTTTAAAAGCCGTTAAAAAGCTCGAAAGCCTAAAAATTAAAGTCTAAAAATTGGATGCGACCAGAATTGCCAATAAATGGCCATTAAAGCGCCAATAATTTAAATATATATAATTTGTGTTTTGAATAAAAATTATTTTTGTTATTAAATTACAATTTTGTAAATAGTTAAAAAATAAAGTCAGCTAATTATTTATTCAAAAAAAATAAATTACAATTTACATAAACTTGTTTTTTCAGTCAAGAAATTAAACAATAAACGAACACGATTCACTTAGAAAATATTGAAACAGAAAAAAACTATAACATTTTAGTACAACCTAAAAATCCTTTGATCACAGGTTTAGAAAACTAAATTTTTAAAACATAGTAAAAATTGGGACACGCCAAGTACTTGCGTGATTTATAAAGGCAATCAAGAATTAAACAAAAAATTTGTTTTAGTAAATAATTTGTATCATTTAGTTAAAAGTTCACAAATAAACAGAAACAAAGAAGCCCAATAAGGCCTAACTTCTTCAAATTCAACAGGTCTATCACCATCATTAGAAAGCGCCAAAGCAATTTGCAATTGCATTTCCTTCTCACCCAAAGAGGAAGGCCTAGCCTCTTCAAATCCACCATTAGAATCAATTGTTCGTCTGCATCTTGTCCCAGCTCTTCTAGTTCCATCATAGGGAATTAGGAAAGTAAAACGTTCTTGAGCTAACAAAAAACGAGTTCTTTCATATTTCAGTTTTTCATCGTTAGTTAGAAGATCAACAATTTTTTCTGCTTTTTCTCGGACGAGAAATCCAAATTCACGATTTCTTTGATCACGATATTGAAAATCCTAAATATTTTATTGAAATATTGGTTTAAAAAGCAAAGAAAAATAATTAAGTTAAAAAAATAATCGAGAACGCCATTGACTTTAAATTTAAGTTAAGAATCAGGAAATTAGTAATGCCCCAAACTTGATTGTTGGAGGGGAGAGGGTCTAGAATAAAATTAAATTTTAAGTCTAAACCCCTAAATAAAAAACCTTTAATGTCTTAATAAAAGATAAATTCTCTTTGCATTCTTGTGCAACTCGTTCACTTCCACCTCCAATTAAATAGTAAAGGAGAACCGTACTTTTGTAGACCTAAATTTTTAAAAATAATAAACAAAAAATCAATCTAAAATTTACATGTCTCCAGTTCTTTCCTTGGTCATTCAGCCTTTTCCAAATTATCGGCATTATTTCATGAAATTGAGTTATATCATGTGTCATATCAGCAATTTCTGACATTAATGCTGTTGGAGGCCGCCATGGATAATCGCTATTGCTATAATTTATTCAACAAAATTGAAACAATTTTTAAACAATACCTCGTGGCCTCTCGCACTTTAACTTGTGCAATTGTATACCTCAAGGCTACATTTTTCGCCCGTCTGCGAACCTTTAATACTAAGGGCATTTTGAATTAAAAGTCAGGTTATCTGATAGAAGAATAATGGTAAATGACCAGTTGACTCCTCTGCCTTCTTCTCTCTTTGCAACACTTTTTCACATTTTTCCGTCTGGAGAGGCGCTCGTATTTTTCCTTATCAGCTATAATATGAAAGGAAAAGATGAAAATAGTCAAAAGTGATTAATAATAAAGTGAAAAAATATTTATTTTATAAATGATCAAAGATTAGCGATCATTAGAAGTTAAATTAACCGTTGATCTTTTTTCCCTCAAAATGGTCAGTTACTCAAAAATTTCAAAATGGTCTTTCAAGGTCAAGTGCTCATTTTATATTGAATTTTATTTTCATCAACAGCGTCGCAGGCGAAAATTTTAAGAATTTTTTCCAGATACGAATAATTAAGATTTGTAAACTTGAGAATGCTTGATTGCTACTTTTTTCTTTTTCAGGTTTTGCAACGGCTAAATTATTTTCTAAAAAAATCAAAATGTCACGGGTATTGTGGGTTGTTCGCCATGCAGAACGTGAAGACAACATTAATTCAAATTGGAGAAAAACTGCAAATCCTCACAAGCTTAAATCGGATAACAGTCCATTGTCTTCTAGAGGACATCAACAAGCAAAAGAATTGGCTGCGAGGTTTGAAAATTTTTTTGACTGGCAAAACACCCCAGAGTCGTGAGATATGCTTAAACAGCATTTCGACTTTAAAAAATTTTTTTAGAAAATTTTAATCAATTTAGATTTGCAAATGTTCATGTCGATCACATTTTTGCTTCTCCATTCGAACGGACAGTGGAAACTGCAACAGCTATAGCTAGCGAAATTAAAATTCCAATTAAATTAGAGCCTGGATTGTGTGAGGTAATTTTACTTGGAAAGATTTTCCTAAAAAATTTTCTAGGCTTTATATATGTGTGAAGAGCCTCCTAGTTTTGAAGAGCCAGAAGCGTTAAAGAACCGATTTAATCTAATTGACACTTCCTACAAACCAATATTCAAAAAGCCAATGCCTAAAGAGGGAATGGGGGATAGTGCTTGTGTTGGTCGTCTTCAGAAAACAATAGAAGGAATATGTGAGAAATGCGAGGATGCTAGTTAGTTTTATCATTTTTAATAGTGAATGGCAAAATCGAGTTTTTTTTGGGTTCTCCCATATTGGGGTTATACTTAAAAAAATTTCTGAATTTTTTGCTCCCTTGGGTTGATTCCCGCAAATCATAAAAAGTGTGGCATTGTGAGCGGGGTCTCGCAAAATCCTGCGCGAGATCTCGTTCCGCGCTGATTACTAATTTTTCGCGGTCTAATATTGTCCCCAATGGTCTATTAAAATCTAAAATCCCACCCTTTGGCGGTAGTCAGGCCCGAAGTCTTATAAAGGATTTTCCTGCCGCCCCTTTAAAAAACTCAAAATTTTCAGAATCAATTGTTCTTGTATCTCACGCCTCTCCAATTGGCGCTATTCACGAAGTATTAGTTAACGAATGGACTTATGTTGGCCAAGCAACTGTTACCAAGTTTGTTGAAACCGAAAAAGGGTCAAACCAGTTTTGTTTGGAATACTCTGCTAATGCTGATCATCTTTCTAATAAATCAAATTTAAGGCCATACTAAATTGTGAAGATATTTTAAGTAAATGTTTAGAGCTTCTGTCAATTGTTAATATAATATATTAGTGGGTTGCAATAAATATTAGAATCTGTTAAGTTTGTTTATTAAATTTTAGATAATTTTCATTTCGAATTAAGTAAGCCAAGTGAACCAGGATTTGAGGTTAAATCAAACATGGGCTTATAAAGTGATTTGTATAGCCTCTCTAAAAAAGTTTTGTTTAAAGTTATGTAAGGCACTCGTACATACACGCTGGATAATTTATTATCCCGTTCCCAGTGAAAAAAGTTTTCGGCCTCCTAAGGCTTTTGACCAGTGTTAGTATTTACTTGGCACCTAATTTGTAAGGATATTAAATTAAAAATTTGAATTTTTCTAAATATTAAAAAATTTATTGGGAAGTATTTAAGTGATAATGATTAAAAAAGTAAAGTAGTTACATACTCGTTCTTAGATAACTCGCGGATAAGTTTAAGTATCCAAGTTACCCCGCCAAAACTTTTAAATTTAATTTCCGTTTGGATATTAAAGAATACCCGCGAGAAACAAAATACATGCATTTTTAGGTTTAAACAAACCAAATTTTTATATTTTATTATTTATTTAAAGTTAAATCGCACAAGAGTTCATTCGAATCGCCTGGCATAGGAAGCACAGAAATACAATAGAATCGAGTGTCAATAGGCAAATTATAACTGTAAAATAGGGTAGTAATTAAAAAAATAAAATTCAAATAGGAATTCCCAAAATCTAGATAAATTTCCCTTTAATCCCCCAAATAAAATTTCAAGGGAATTTCCGAGAGAATACCATTCATTATCCCCTGTAATACCTAAAATGTCCAGTCCCTAAAATCTTACATTAAATTTCCCTTTCCTTTAATTCCCCAAATTCCATTTTAAAAATCACCGATTTGTAGTTTTTCTAATTTGACAAAGCAAAATAGTTTCCACCAAAACAAATGCCCATTTTCGATTTGAAGTATTATTAGAAGACAATTCACTTTTTGTGGTAATACTTTCCTTCAATTCATCTTTACTTTCTTGTTGTGATTCACCAGTTATTTTTTCAAGTCCTACCCGTTTTAGACAATTTTCTTTTACAATATATGGGAGAAGTTTGTGGTTTGAACTTTAAGAAATATTTTTAAAAATTTAACTTAAAAATGGTATTATCGCATTACATGTCTTTCCCTCCTTTCTTTATTTTCTTTTATTCTAAAAATTATAAATGGTCAACAGTTAGTAAAGGAATTTTCGACTTCCCTCCAACCAATCTTCAACTAAAATTTAATAAATTTCTTTCCAGTTTGTGGAAGTGTGGGTACTTTTCCGTTTTGTCACACCTCTCTATATTAATGCTCAAAATATTATATTCATATAGGGTGATAAATGTTTTTTCGATATTCGAGGCGTATATCTCGCTTCACAAACATCTTCGGAAAAATGAGGGTACCGTTCGAATCAGCACCTTTTATTACCCCATATATGTCATTTTGAGCATTAATATAGGGGGTGTGCAAAACGGAAAGGTATTGAAGAGTAAATAAGGACGTTCCCACTTTGTCCTTATAATTCAAACCCTTTAATTCTAACTTTGACCATTAAGGGCAATTGATCATTTGTAATTTTTAAAGGAGAAAAAATATAGGGAGAAACTAACGCAATAAAACCAAAAAATTTCTATACCAATGTGCAACAAAGGCGCCCATCTTCTCATTCCATACAATCAAAGCACCAACCCCTTCGATTATCTAAAAATTAATTAATGACTCAAAATTCCTCAGAAGAATTTAAAAAAACCTCTCCAAGTGATACAATAAAGTTCATATCATTTTTACGAATAATTGTTTGTACTCTACGGTTTTGCAGTTGAATAGTTCGTGATATTTCATTTTGGGTTACATCACTCATTTTTGGTTTAATTGTTTCGTCTTTAACATCAATAAATGAGGCTGTTACTGAAGAATGTATAACATTGTCTTGTGATTCTAAATTTAAAAAATATAAATTATTAAAAGTTGAATTTCACACATTTCACGCCCCGATAGTATTTATAACGAGAAAAATAGAAACGTTAAACTCCCGAGTGTGTCCAGTTGGGGTCAGGCACTTATAGAAATTGGAAAAATAAATTATCAAAAATCTTTAGCACTAAATATTTAGGAAGAACTCTGGCTTCTTGACTAGCTGAAAATGTCAAACCCCCACCCCCCGTTCATTTTACTAACAAAAAAAAATAAATTTTATCATTAGCTCCCTACAAAATTTATTCTAGAATAGATATGTCCTCGCTAATTCACGCCCATGAATTTCCAACATCTCCCAATATCCCTTCCCAAAAGCCTAAATAATTCAAATACAACCTGATATAGCACTTTCCAACATTTTAGCTCTATTTGTTATACTCTGTGAATTCGCTGCCTCTTCCTTTTCACTAATTACATTAGACAACTCATCCTTTTCTTTTTTAAAAGCAATTATTTGATCATTTAATTCACTTATTTGTTTCTCTTTTTCAATTAATTGTTGTTCTCTTTCTTCTCTAATTTTTTGTTCATTCTAATAAAAAAATTATCTTAAACAATTTTTTTAAAATTCAAAAAAAACCTCAAATTTTTCTTCAATTTCAACAATTTTTTCATTCATTTTCGTTTCCATCTCTTTCAGTCGTTCTTCATTTTCTTTTTCCATTTTCAGCTTAAATTCTTCTACAGCTTTCAAAGAGCTTTGTTTTATCAAAGATTGGATAGATTGAAGAATTTCTTTTGAAAACAAAGAAATATTTTCTTCATTAAAGCTAGTTTGTTGTAATTCTTTTCCAGCTTCGCGGAGAGAATTTAGATCCTGAAAAATTGAATTTTGTTACAAAAATAAATTTTAGAGGGTGTTTGAAGTAGTAGCCGGCAAAGTTGTGTTTGAGGGATCCAGCGGGATAGAATTTTTTAAATAATCCTTGCGGAGCTCCCGCGGGAATAATCCCGCACTCCCGCAAATTGAAAAAAGGCGGGATTTCGGGACGGGATCCCGCAAAATCCCGCGCGGGTCACTAGTTTGAAGTTAAGTTGAAGCTGATTTGAAGTAAAGTCTAAATTTCAGTAAAAAATACCTCAACAAGTTCCTTCATTTGTTTTTGTACATTTTCCAATTTTGTCTTCATCCCAACATCAGAAACTTTTTCCAATTCAACTTTACGATTAAATTCGTCTTTCGCCACCTAAAAATTTTATAGAATAAAACCATACTTTTTTAAAAAATTAATTTTTAAACCTCTTCCACCAACGCTGGTTGATTAGCACATTGAGCTCTAACAAGAGAAAGTGGTCGAGTAATTTTAGGGGATGAACGGAAAGGCGAGTAGTTCTAGAAAAAGAAGTTTAAAAATTAAAAAAAAAATTTTCTAAAACCGGAAGTGTAGCTCTAGCATTGTTAACCGTTGTAATAAAGCGATTATGTTCATTAATCAACCCAAAACTACTAAATTCATCGGGTGTGCTGAAATTGTTAGAACCTATTGAATCATCCTTTTGTTGTTCATCACCACGAGTCTCATTATTATTATTGTTTGTTGGAATTGCAATTGGAGCACTTGGTTGGAGTGGAGACATTGATTCACGTTTCTTGAGTATTTTTATTAGTAGAAATTTTTTAGAAAAAAATTTGAAAAATTTTTCTTAAAATTTCTAGGCCTAAAATAATTTCAACGGTATCTCAAGCTTACATAAACAAGTGTAAACTATTAAAGTCAAACGGTATTCTTGAATATAAATTTTTGATTTGGTTGGTCAATGATTGGGCGATCTTCGCACTAACAGTAAACGATGTTCCCTTGTTAGTATGTGAGCTTAGAGTAGGATACCGCCGATTTTAGATACCCTCATCATAAGATAAGACTTTGTCATCCTCAAGGAGATATCCAAAAATAAAGTTCAATATAATCACACAACTTACATCATTAGCAACGATAGTGCTTGAGCTGTTATTATATGTCAATGCAAATTGGGGTTGTCCCGTATAGTGACATAAACCGCGTGGAGGAGATTCTGTCATTATATTTGCACCAATTGAATTTAAAGAAGTATTGGAAGCAAAACTTGAACCTTCCCGAGTTAAAGTAAGAAATGCATGACCTCCAGACGGTGAGACAATATCAATAGGTTCCTCACTGTTAAATTGAGAATTTTTTAAAATAAAATGATAAAAATTAAATTCAAAATTTGAGGAAATTCTAGAAATTTGAATTTATTTGTCGCCGAAATTTGGAAAACTCTCTGATGAAATCTTTGGCAAAAACAAAAGATCCCTGAACGGTTTCTGGAACTTTGTAAAACACTAACCGAATCATGAAAGTTTCCAAAATTAATAGGATACTAACCAGGGATGGGCCCTTTCGAATTTTAGAAGCGGAACATGGAAGAAAATAAAAAAATAGGGCAAAAACCTCGATTACCTTAACCAATTTGTTGAAGTATTAAAATTCAATTTCATAGCATCAATGTTTGACATTCTATCCCGGTCATAAAAACTCTGGTCTCGACGTATTTGAGATATCATAACTTGTTGATTTTGAGATTGGGAAAAATCAAAAACTGATAAACGTTGAAAAATTCTTGGAGCACCAACAATTAATACATCTTTCATGTGAGGGAAAATCTGAAAAGAATTCTTTTAAACATTTTAGAAAAGTTCAAACCTTTCTAAGTTCACTCAAGTGTTTACTTGATATTTTTGGAAGGCATTGATCTATTTTTGGAGGCGTAGTTGATGTAAATTGTGGAATTCTGTCACTCATTCCAGGGAATAATTGACACAAAAAATGTTTATCCAATTTGTTTTGGAATTGTTCTCGAATACGATTCTCTTCGGCAATAAAAGCTGAACATTTATCTATGTGAGTAGTAATCCAACCAGAAAATTCCTTAAAAAATAAATTTTATAGGAGCAAAAAATTCAGAATTTAATTGTATTGTTGACTAATGAAACTTATAACAAGAGAGGGTGACATTTAAGTCAGTCATTTTACATATTTTCGACAATAGAGTGACAGGATTTTAAACACAAGGTCTGATCCAGAACAGCTAGATTTTAGATGAAAAGGGTGTCGGAAAAATAAAAAGTGCTAACAAGGGAACAAAGAGAGAAGGTTCTCATTTACCCTATAACTTCAGACTCTAGCGGACCAACTTTGAACGGCCATAACTCGGCCCAAACTACTTTTGCAAAAAAAAAACGGGTCCTCAATCGAATGTTACCAAAAAATATATCAAATTCGCACTGACAGTAAAAGATGTTCCCTTGTAAGATGAATTTAAATAATAACCTTTCTCAGCTCTTCCCTTCTTATAACTTCTGGAACTGCTAACATATAAATATTTGGTGCTTCTTTAATCTGTCGTACAAGATCCAATCTTTGTCGCAATCCAGAATATTTTTCCTCAAATACAACCAATTTCTTGTTTGCCCTGTCCAATCTTTCATAAGCCTTTACAAAACAAGTTAATTACTTGAAGCTCTAATTTAATCTAAAAACCTGTCTAACCCAAGTAGAAAATCGTTGAGAAACTAAAAAATTAAAAAAATTTTAATTAAAATTTTCCAAAAAATCTTCAAACTATTTTTAACGACTTCCTCTTTTGAATCAATAAAAGAAATTGCAAAATCGTAAATATGTTTAAGTGGTTGTTTTAATTCATTTAGGCGTTGTTTTTGCCAATTTGCAATGTTTTGTGTGCTATCTTGAATTATTGGTTGAATAATTCTGTTGGAAATTTCGCGTACTTGTGCGAGAATTCCTTTGAAAAATTAAAAGAAATGTAGTCATGCTAAATGCTTAAAAAAGCACACACAACAAAATTAAGTGAAAATGGACAAGATTTCTCCCTAAAATGACTCAACTCAATGAACAACTATACTCACAAAAGAACCTTCCGAACTGTGCCCAAAAATTTTGAAATAAAATTATACAATCGTGTAGAGCATGGCAAAAACCTATTGTCGTATCCGGCTTTTTTAACTCAGACGCCCATTTCGAAAAGTTATAGTGCTTTAAAGTTTTCGACTTTTGGCCTTTTTTACCTTTGTTTTATTTTCTTTCGAGTTTTCTTCAAATTCGTTATATCAAGAATCGAATATATTTACGAAAAAGTTAAGGAAATGGAGAGGTTTATTTAATAGGGAAAACCAAAAATCACACTAACATAAACCAAAAGAGAGTTAAAAAGGCCAGAAAAGTTAGAAGGGAAAAGTCGCTAGAACAAAAGGAGTGGAAGGACTTAAACATCCAACATCAGAATTTAAAAAATGTTTAGATAAACGAAAAAAAATTAAAAAACCTTCCAGATGTTGAAATTTACTCCTCAAAGTAGTCAATCTTTTATCAATCCCTCCAATTTCTCGATATTGTGCTTTTGTAGAAACCCCTTGAACGATTGTAAAGAAAGATGTAGCTTCTATTAAATCAGTATCATCCGTTTTCTCCAAATGATCGAGCATTAATTGGGATAAAGAATTTAGAGAATAAGCTGGGTCTTTAGATGAAAGCCAATCAAATAAAGTTATTTCTTCAGAGGAGGTGAAAGTTGTTGAATTTGTATCACTGTCAGGAGAGGAAGGAGTTAATTGCTGTGCTGGAGGTGGTGAAAGGAGAGAGGAAGGGATCGTTATCTAAAATAATTTTCTTTTAAAGGTATTTTTAAAATATAGTGAAGCTGCTCAAAAAATTGGTCTTGGGCCCTAACTCAAAACTTTAGTAGGGTGAAGTAGGAGGAAAATTTTAGTTATGGTCTCGAGGTTGGAAAATTAGCAAACCTGAGGGGGAAGTTGAAAAACTGAAAGATTTAACAGGAACGACCGAATAGACCAAGGCCGAAAAAAACCTTTAAACAAAAATACGAAACAAAATAAGGGTCCAGACCAAAGGCGAAATTTGCTTGATTATCCCCAAATAAAAAATTTCATTTCCTTTATTTCTTTAAGGAAGCTTAAAAATAAATATGTAAATCACCTTTGAAAGAACTTCAATAACATTGTCAAAATCTCCCAAGAGAACGCGTCCTTTTGTCCGGATAATTTCCAACTTTTCTGCCTGTCTTTTAGAGCGTTGAAGGTATTTTTGGGTGCGAGAAATGCTGTCATCTAAATTTGCGATGACTGCCTTCCAACCCTAAAAAAATAATTTTTAAAATTTTTAAACCGAGTTTAGCAGACAATAAGTGTCATTTAAATTTAAAATAAATTCAAAAAAATTTAACCTGATGCAAGTAATGATGTTCAGAAATTAAATTGCTACAAAACCGAATAATTGTTTCCGCAACATTATTGCACTTTTTTGCCAATTCTATACACTCTGTAATAGCAGAAGAGGAGGTTGTGCTTATCCTGTTTAGACGGTCCATCTCAGAGCTCCAACCTTTGTTTGAATTATTAATTTTTATAAAGTTTTAAAGGACTTAAGGCTATACCCAGTCTTTTAAAAATGGTTGGAAAGGAGCTGGGTACAAAACGAATCACTAAAAAAGGTACTCGAGTAGAACAAATTTGTGTCAGGGGTGGGTCCTAACGCCCATACCAAGGCATTTTTCATTCTTGTGGAACTCGAGGCTGTTCTATACAGGCCCGTGGCCAGGATTTTTTTTCGGGGGGGGGGGACAAGGGGGTCCATTCCCCAAATTTTTTCCTTTTCACCATTTCGGGAGGGGGATTCCCCCCTGACTACGGGCCCGTTCCTATACTATAAACCCATCATCCGGCCCTGTAAAACGGATTCAGAAACCATTCAAGACTAGATACTTTAAAAACCTCACCCAGCCACTCCCAAAATAAAACAACAAACCTCTAAAAAGTTCATTAATTCCTTCCAAATTTTCCTTCACCAATTCTCTACCATTATTCGTTACTCTTCTGACAAGAAATATTGGATTTGTATCAGTTCCAACCCCAGTTATTGAAGAAAGCATTGTTGAGCCAATTAGAGAACCTCCATCAGAAAGAAATAATAATTGATTATCGATTCCAATTCCCGTCGATTTTTCTATTGATCTGAGGGGAAAGAAAAAAATATTTCTTAGAAAAATTTCAAAAAAAAACTTTTGCAAATCAAAAACAGAACCAAGTGTTGGCGGTTCAAGCATTAACATATAACCTAAAAAATATGACAAATTTAAAGCACAAGAAGCTCAAGAAATCAAATAAGAATTAATTACCTTGATTAACGTAAAAGATGTGGAACATGTTGAAATTAAAAAAGAAAGAAGAAAGAAAAATGAATAAAAAATTAAATCTAAATTGAAAAATAAATAGTAGAGATCGAGATTTATGAAAAGCCTGGGCCTGTTCATGGGCATGTAGTCCAGGAAAACCCCAGGCCTAGGAAAAACCTAGGAGGGCCAAAAAATGCATAGGCCTGGACTCTGGGTACAGAGAAAACCCAGGACTTGGCCAGGCCAGCTCTAACAAATAGTATGTAATTGTAGTTGGGAAGTTCGGGTTAGTGAACGACATATCTACGTTTTCGTCGATTCGCGGCGAATAACTACTTTTATTCGCGAACGACTTTTTTTTAATACATAATGCCAGAACTACGTTAATATCGATGTTTTGCGCCAAACGATTGCGAAACGACTTTTTTGTGTCTCTTTTTCTCTAATTTCACATTATATTTCCTTTCTCTTTTTCTATTAATTTTCTATGTCGTTGTCTCTCCATTGGAATTTTTGTTAGGTTTTCGTTTTCTAAAGTTTAAAAAAAATAAAAAAAATAATTTTATTCATCTTTAAATAATGATTGTAATGAAATAAGTGTACTAATTGTTTTGCTAATTGATCCAAATTATTTAATTTTTCTTGTTGTGAAGCAATAGCTTTATCAAAATCTTCATGTTTTTTAATTAGAGATTCAACATTATCCCCAGTCGGGTCCTCTTGAGCGAGAAAAGCGTAAACGATTGGCCTAATAAACAAAAATTGCTTTTAAAAGGATTCAATTTTTAACTTTTTCATCTAAAGCACGTATTTTATCCCCTAAAGCAGCCAAATCCCTTTCAACTCCCTCATGTTTTCTTTGTAGAGCTTGGACTGAACGAAGATCACGACCAAAATCTTCAGTATCCAAAGCTTCATTCTTTTCTTGTATCCAATCCCTCGTCTCCTCCACGTCCTTATGGAAACGTTGAACTTCATGTGCAGATTCTAATTGCTGCCCTCTTTGTTCCGCCTTTTGTTCTAAAGCCTTCCAACTAGTAGCAATTTGATTCATTTCTTGTAATCTAACTTCATTTGCTTTCAAGTCACATTTAAAGTCATTGAATTTTGTTTGTAATACTTCTGCATGTTCCAAATCTTGACCAATTTCTTGTTGAGAAGCAACTGTTTCTCGTGACTTTATCCACTCTGCGAGGTCATTTGCTTCACGCAATAATTGGTAGGCTTTAAATAAAAGGGATTTAAAGATAATTTTGGGATTGTTTTCTAAACAACCTTTGTAAGCCTTTTCCAGTTTTCTCTTTCGTTGATCACCCAAAACCATTAAACGTTGGTACTGATCTTCAATTTGACTTTGTTTCGCGTTAATAGTGTTTACAGGTTGGCCAGCAGTTGCTTGGTGGTGATGTTGAGAACCAGGCTCGATATATTTAACATATTCCATGATCGCCTACTCTTCGGACTTCCTAGATCTAATCCTTAAGGATATGGATTTTCGACGTTTCGATGACGGTGTCACAGGTTCTTCGAGATCGCCGCTTTCGAATGCGACTCTTAATTCATTTTCAAATTCATCCATTTAGTAAGAATATATGTGGAAAAATCCCTAAAAATTACAGAAAAGGGACTGAACATTTATAAAAATGGAAAATTGCAAATTCCAAAGGAGAGACTACACAAACGAAAATTAATAGAAAAAGAGAAAGGAAATATAATGTGAAATTAGAGAAAAAGAGACACAAAAAAGTCGTTTCGCAATCGTTTGGCGCAAAACATCGATATTTACGTAGTTCTGGCGTTGTGTGTTTAAAAAAAAGTCGTTCGCGAATAATTGTAGATTTTTTTAAAACGACTTTTTTTCCTTAAGAAAAAGTCGATATGTCGTTCACTAGTTCGGGTACAGCCTCGCGGGGAGTCTACGGTCGCTGGGTTCTGGGCTCGTAACTTAATCCTATTCCTTTTTACCGATTCTCAGCCTTGAATGCCGACCTACCCTCCGTAGCAACACCAAAACAGGTATTGAAGCGAAAAGGCGAACAAGGAAAAGGCGAAAATATGAAGAAAAGCTTGGCGACAATTCGGCCGGCGACATTTCGGCCTCGCGACATTTTGGCCCGCGACATTTCGGCCGCGACATTTTGGCCCGCGACATTTCGGGCGTGTCCCGGGAAGTTCTGAGGAATTTAAACCCGGATGTATTAAATAATCCGCAAGGCTGTTCTTTAGTATAGCTACACCGAGATCGAAACTTGAAGTATATACCATTCGATTCGTCTCGCTGAGCTGAGTTCAAATATGCAAGAATTTTCTGCGGGAGACGAAAACTCGCAGAGATACAGGCCCCCGAAAATTGAAAAACCATAGGGGGGAGTAAGCTGATTTTTGGGGTCAAAAATTCGCTCGTCGAGCTGAGTCGAATGACACCAAAATCAACAAAATCAGACATGATTGAACAAAGTTATGATCTTTTATTTTAGCTCCTTACCTATGGGATCTGTGGAGATTTTTGCTGCTACGGAGGCCCCAAATACGTCCAGAGCAAGGGAGATAGGAATAGGTTTATGTTACGAGCCCAGACCCAGCGCCCGTAGACTCCCCGCAAGGCGCGTGCCGCAAAACCCCGCGCGAAGCGCGGGGTTTTGCACAAGCGCCTCGCCGACGCCCCATAGGTTTAGGTTTTTTGTATCATAACTTTGTCTAATCTTGTTCAATCACGGTGATTTTGGTGTCATTTGACTCAGCTCGTCGAGCTCTTTCGAATGAGTTATTATTTGTATAAAAAATTTTTTATTCCGAAAATCGCCCCTTTGGATCTTCGATTTTTAGGGGTCTATATCTCGGTTCAATCAAGTCGGATTTCGTTGATTTTGGTGTCATTCGACTCAGCTCGACGAGCTCTTTCGAATGAGCTATCATTTGCATATTCGAATTTTTGACCCCAAAAATCAGCTTACTCCCCCCTATGGTTTTTCAATTTTCGGGGGCTTGTATCTCTGCGAGTTTTCGTCTCCCGCAGAAAATTCTTGCATATTTGAACTCAGCTCGTCGAGACGAATCGAATGGTATATATTATGGGTTCCGATCTCGGTGTAGCTATACTAAAGCGACCCCATCCCCAAAATTCGGGATAACGGGAAGTGCCGACTAATTTTTTAATTGATTCCTGCAAGTTCCAAACGGCTAGCGAAGCTCTAATTACCGTAGCACAGCTCTGATGCGGAGCTTCGCCAGCTGTTTCTGTAACGTTGATCTTTTTGAAGTTGATCTCTAGTGTTGATCTTGTAGGGTTGCCCCAAGGAGTAGATTACAACAAAAAATTGCGTAAAATAAATCTCTCGAAGCTTTTTGGAAAATGTAAAAAAAAATTTAGAAATTTAAAGCGGAACGTCCCAATCTAGTATTACCAATTTAAAGTACAAACGGATGCTCTTTGCTGGGAGTTTTCATTTGTCCTGCTGCATCCGCTCCTTTGCTGGGAGTCTTTGCTGCCTTACAAGGTAATCGTACCTGCAACGGCAAGTCAGCAAGGACTCCCAACAACGGAGCGGACGAGCAGGACAAAGGAAGACTCCCAGCAAAGAACATCTTAGAGCACATCCCAGACCGGGATGTTACCCACTACACCAAGGCCGCTCTATAAATTAAGATTTAAAAATGCTTTATAAACTCTTAACAATTCTTTGATATGACTGAAGAATGTTTTGATTATGAAGATACTGATGTGAGTATGAAAGCGCTGCACGTCGTTAGACAGCACAAAAACTATGCGGGGCAATTCCTCATGGAATGACTCGTTCTCTTTCAGATTTCTTAAAATAAATTCTCAATATCAGGCTCAACTCCCCCAATTTAATATTTGTCAAATTGAAGACGTTTTTTAAAGATAATACAAAAAGGACAGGCATCTAAATAAGAGATGCCACGGATTTAGAAAAAAGATGATCAAATACCTATTAACTAGCGACTGAAGGATAGGACCAAAACTTCACCAAACAAGCAACCGACATTAATCTCGAAAAAAAATTTAAAAAATAAGAAAACCTGGATAAAATACCAGACGAACAAATAAATAATTTTGCTATTTAATTTCAAAAACAAAAATTTATGTCTTTTAAAAATGAGTAAAGAACGTTTTTAAAGGGAAGACAAAAAACCAAAAGGGTGGGTGATAAAAAAATTTTGAAAAAAATAAAACAAGAAAAAGATAAAAATATTTTCTTTATTTTTCTCCCAAAAATAATTTTTATTAAAATTTTTCGGGTAAATTATGGTTTAGGGCCTTCTTTGTTTCTTTCCCTAGTATATACAGAACATCTTTTTTGATAAGCAACTCACTGTTTTATAAGCTCGCGCCCTAATGGCCCCGCGCCCTAATGGCCCAGTCCCTGATACAGACGGATCAGACTTCCTTTACAGGTATTTGGTGGCATTTCAAAAAAAAATAATCATTGAGTTATTAATGTCTCATTGTATATGCCAGATCTGTGCATGGATACGGATATATGGATACAAATATCAGGATGCCTGTGGATATCCTCCGCAAATATCCGGATATGAATACAAAAATCTGTGGCCATGCACAGGTCCACGGGGAAATAAAGTGAAAGACCCATTCTGAAAAATTTTAAAAAAATCTGGGGAAAAAGGGGGGCCCTAAACCTTAATTGTTTTACCCTTATCTTTATAATACAAAAATAAATTTGCATGAGATACTCTCCTACACTTCTCCCCCAACTTCAAATTATTATTAAAAAATAACTAATAAAGTTATACATTTAAAAAAATAAAAGAAGAAAAAAAAGAATTGAAAATCTAGCGACAAAAAAAAGTTTTTTTAAATAAATTTTTTTACACATCACACAATTCTTTTTCTATTTTTTTCTAAAAAGACTGCTATGATGGTTGTACTCCTTCAAATATATATAAATTATTTGTTGCTGCTAATGCTATAATATCTGCTGAAGGATGCCAGGCGCAATGAAGAATCTTTAAAGTTTAAAAAACATTAATGAGTCATTTATAGGAGGGTATATTCCCATAATTTAAAATGAGGGATTTACAATGGGGGCAAAACTAAGGAATATGTAATATGGGGCAAAGATGGGGGCAGAAGTCCCATAAAAACAGGACAACAGACTGAAAAAAGTCAAATGAGGTAAAACTAGGGTTAACCGAACCGGGATCGAAAACCGGTGGTCGCGATACCCGAAAATTGGGGGACCCGGTTAATAACCAGTAGTGAACAACCCTATGTAAAACCAATAAAACGGCTTTTGAAGCCCCTATAACTTTTCAGAATAGGAGTTAGGATCAAAAAAAAGCCAAAAATTGGCAATAGGTTTTCTACACTGCTCTATACTATGGTATAAATTTTAAATAAAAATTTCTGTTCATAACTCGATCGTGTCGGGTTAACTCATGGAACTGATAAGACACGTAATTATCAAATCACGGAATGACCAAAATACGGAATATTTTAAAAATAGGAATTGATAATTCTTGCGTTCGTACCCCCCCCCCTTCTTTCCTTCCTCAAAGTATTAAGAAATGATCAGTCTGATATCAGATTATAGAACTCGTCGAGCTTTGTCGAATGACACCAAAATCAAGCCCCGGTCTTAACTTTGGGCCGAGATACAGTAAAAAACCAGCGCAAAGCGCAAGTTAAGCAAAAGCGTCTCACCGACTACAATAGGTTTTGTTCATAACTTTGTCAAATCTTGTTCAATTACGTCGATTTTTATGTCATTCGAATCAGCTCGACAAGCTCTTTCAAATGAGCTATTATTTGTTTAATCTAATTTTTATCCCAAAAAATCTGCTTGATCCCCCCTTTTATATTTCAATTTTCTGGGGTCTGTATCTCGGCCCAAAGTTAAGACCGGGGCTTGATTTTGGTGTCATTCGACACAGCTCGATGAGTTCTATAATCTGATATCAGACTGACCATTTTTTAATACTTTGAGGAAGGAAAAGGGGGGGGGGTACGAACGCAAGAATTACCTAGGAATTTTTTGAAAAATCTGGATATTATAAAAATAATAAGAATTTTTAAAAAAATTAGATGTTCCGTGACCTGTCTGTTCTGTGACTTGAAATTCATCGAGTTAGCCCACACCCATCTCGATAGTGTCCCCTGTCAGAACTTAATAGAATATTTTTTGCGAATTACCCATAAAATGTTCGAAATTAAAATCCCCAATAAAATAAAATTAAAAGAAACCTTTTTATTAAAATCCAAATAATCTGCACTAATTTCTTCTTTCCGTTTTCTACCCGGAATTGTTTTTGCTGAATTTCCACTTTTTTTACCTCCTGAACTGGTAAAGTCTGAATTAGCAAATCGCGGTTGTCTGAAAGGTTTACACAATTCTAGACTAGCTTCATAGGTTGATTCAACATGGGAATTTCGCTTAAAAGTGCGAAAGTGGTTGTTGTAAGAGCCGGTAATGACATGTCTAGAAATAAAAATTGAAAGACTTTTTGCTGTTTATTCACAAATTTCTCAAAATTTTAAATAGTTATAAAATCAGATTGAGCTTTTCTAGGTAGGTAATCTCTCCTAAAACATTGAAAAAAGTCAGAGGTAAAACCCTAAAATAGCTTTTCGTACGTGATTACTTTGAAGCCCTATAGCTTTTCGGAATGAGAGTCAGGATAACTCGAAGTCTTTTCATTTTATTCCTACATTTATAAAAGAAATCTCTCATAAATAAAAAATCCTTCAATAAAAATAAATAAAAAACCTGTCATCTCCACTCCAACTACATTCAAATTTATCAAAAATCGAATCATTTTCGTAAAGTGTACAAAGTTTTGAGCGTAAACAATCATGCACATGGTAAGTTTCGACTGGTCTATTTTCCATATTTAAATCCCAAACCTTCAAAAAAAAAGTTTTTTTATTTATAGAATTATAGAAGAATATACGTTGACTGTGAGGTAATCTCTTGTTAACAAATATCTTCCACTTCTAGAAAATTTTACATCAGATATTGAGGATATTATTTCAGAGAAGAAGGAACGGGCTGCTGGATCTTCTTTTTCTTCAAATACTGAAAAAATATTTAAGTTAGAAAGAAACGAGGGTCAGGGGCAACTTTCCCTTTAAACTAGAAGATAATGCCAGAAAAATGTCAAAAGGACTTACCTAAACTACCCAAGGGCGTAACCAAGAGGTCGATTTCGGCTAGGGAAGGGGCTAACATGGGGTGAGCGCCAGGGCTGGGCTTATTTCGCACTTTTTGACGCGAAAAGTTTCGCATTTCGCTTTTAATTTTTAGATTTCGCCCAGCCCTGGTGAGCGCCCAAGTTTTGGGTGCCAAAATTCAATTTTTTCCCTTTCCCCATTTCGGGAGGGGGGGGGGGGCTTTAGCCCCAGAAGTCCTCCTGCCTACGCCCCTAAAACTAACTTATAATAACCAAAATTTTGGTTAACTATGATGTGGAAAAAACAAATATCCCCTCAAAAAAAAGAATAAACTTTTTGCTGGTCCATCACATAGAGCGCCGTCCCGCATATCACAAAGACGTATAATTCCCTTTGAAGAGCTATATGCAAAAAGATGGCAATGTTGTTGATGAAATTCAGCGGCTGTTATTACCTAAAAATTGATACAAATAAAAATCAAATAATCCAAAAACCTCAGTCAATTCCTCCATATTTGTTGGTTTTATATCCACAATATCTTTAAATTAAAGAAAAATCTCTAAAAAATCAAAAAATTCTTACTAAAGCTCTGATTTGTTATTTCATGATTCCACAAATTTATTCGAAGATCATCAGCTGAAATAAATGTTTCTTGGTCTGAATTGATGCTGATTGAGTTGATATGCTGGAAAATTATAATTAATTTAAGGAAATGCTCACAAAATTTATTAAAAATAATTTTTAAAATACCCTACATATGTGTGTGCATTTGCATAAACCCTTCTAGGTGATGCTTCTACAATAAGTTCCATTGGGACTAGCATTGGTAATTGAAGCGGTGAACCACTTATGAGCCTGCAACTAATAAATTCTTTGAAAGACAAATGAAAATTCAGAACTTTGAAAATTAGAGGTATAGAGAAATCAAACAGAAGTTCAAAAACTACTAGAGGAGCTAACAAGAGAACATATGTACAGTCATCACAAATTTGGTATTTTTTGGTACCATTTGATAGAGCCTCCGACTTCCTATTGGAAGTCTTTTACCCCATACTCAAACACTGAAACTTCGAAATGGCTATAACTTTTTTTAAAATATTTTGCAAGAAAACCCGCGTCACTTCTCACAGGAAGTCGGGGGCCTTTATCGAATGGTACCAAAAAATCAAATTCGTGGTGACAGTAATATACCGTATTTCCTATATTAGAGCCCCATGGGGCTCTATTTTTCAACTATCCTCCAAAGTGGGGCTGTATTAGAGGGTGGGTTATTAGATTCATCAAAAAATCAAAACCTTCGGGTCCCATCATCATATCGCAGATTATATCCACCGTCCGCCATTTTTCGTTCTCTTTCTGATATTTTCCATAGTTTTACTGTTTTATCTAAAATTTAAAAATAATTAAAATGTTTTCCTTAAAAACCATTTGTTGAAATTATAAAATTTGCGGCATTTTTCTTTTTCATCCATTTTATTTGATTTATTTTTTCTTCAATTTCTAAAGACTTTAAATAGTCAAATTCAGGTTCATGCGATTGGAATGTTGAGTAAACATTGTATTCACTAGTTCTTACACCGTTTAAATAAACACCCTGAAAATTGAGACAAAAGTTGTTTGAATGGGAAATAAGCAAAAGAAGGTGAATGAAAAGAAACAATTATTTAATAAAGAAACAGAGGTACTTGTCGGTTATCTTTACGTGTTTTTGCGGACACAATTGTACGGAATGGTCGTTTATCCCTCATTTAAATCCATCTCCCTCAAATGCATTAAATTTGATGTGTCCGCAACACCGACAAGTACCGATACAGGAAACCAGAATTTAATTAATTTTACGCAAAGGGAGCTAAAATATAAGAGTCCGAGACCTAGTTCTACAAGATGTCGAAAAAGACCAAAATATAGCCTTCGGAATTTAATTAACAATTATAGACTTACACTTTGATCACGTTGAAAAATAACTACTCTGCCCCCTTTATCTCCAGTTGCGAGCAATTCACCATCTGAAAATGTGAAAAATAAGAACACAAAAAATAAATCGAACCATGAGAAAATTCAACACAGGAGATTATATCTGCTGAAATAGAAAAAAGAAAATTGGTGATTAGAAAAATAAATTTAATAAAAAGGGAGGCGGTTTAAGTGAAGCAAAAGGGCAGAACAGGCATGGGAGTTATAGTGATCCGCAAAATAATAGCCCCAATAAATTAGACTTAAAACAGAATATTGAAAGAGTAAATGACCAGATACACGATTAGAGGTCAATTTCCATTACTTCACAATTTTTCTTGTTCTACCATAAAATCTCAATTGATTTAATTGTAAGAGAGGAAGTGGGAAGAACACGAAAAATTGTGACAAAATCCACTAGAACAAAAACGGATGGGGAAGGAAAGGGGGCCACTTTATGAAATTGCCAGGAAATGGGGAGAGGACAGGGAATAATTTTAACGAAATTAACAAAATCAAAACAAAGTTTGGAGGAGAAATGGGGCCCAATTTATGAGCTAATGAAAAATTAAAAAAACCGTCAGTTGGCGCATCATCCGTTTCAATATTTCCTTTTATTTGAGAAAATCGCCATTGAATTTCATCCGAAAATTCCATGCTTTGTGGTTCAGAACTGCCAGCTCTAGATAAAGATGGCTCAGAACAATCCATTGATGACTGTTGCTTTCTTCTTGGATAAATATTGATTAGCCGCAGTGTGTTCAATTTTTTGATTTGAATATATTCTTATTAATTTTTTGTTTACTTTTCTGTTAAAAATAAAATCTTCATTCCTATTTTGAGGAAAATTGTTGTAATAAAATGAGGTGAAAAATCAGAAGACAAATTAGGCAGAATGACATTTGGGAAAGGTTACAGATTGCCACAAATTCGGAATCATGGCACAAAATGGTGGCTGGAAAAATGTTCCAGAGACAAGGCCTTAGCGTGTTTCAAAGAGTGCGGCACGGGAGAGATCCCAGGCGTGATTTTACGGGATCCCGTCCCGGAATCCCGGGTTTTTAGCGACGAGCGGGATTCGGGATTAACCCCGCAGGATCCCTCCGTTCGATTATTTCAAACTCTACCCCGTTACGGAATCCCGGAAATGCGATTTTGCCGATCTCTAGTTTCAAACGTGCTTTCGAAACAACTTTAGAAAAGCATAGTTTGAAAGACAGATATCCTAATATTGGAGAATTTACGGTTTCTAAAAATATGTCTTTAAAGAATAAAGGTGTTTAAAGATTATTTGACGAGTTTTACAAAATTTTAATGAGTAAACGAAATTTTAGTTAATTAAAAATAAAAAATTCCTTTTTCTCAAAACTTTCTCTAGTTTAATTTGGCATGCAAAAAAAGTACAGCATGAATTTTTAATGAATTAAAAAAAAACAATTACATAATTACAGCTTTCTTCACCCAACAATTAGTTAAGAAAGTCTCTACCAGACAGTAAAAGGAAGCGATTAGCATCCAACTAACAAAGTGTAGGTGGATAAAAAAATTTTTTTTCTAAAGGGACATTTTGTCCCAACACTGCCAATAGACATTTTTATTGGAAAATTTTACCAAAACAAAAAAATGTCAATCCAGAAGGCCGCGCAGTATAAAAAAATGCGTGCCATCCTTGGCAAAGGAAAAATAATAAAAAAAAAGGTGTTTTATCCAGTTAGAGGGAGGGGGTGTTGCGAGGGGAAGATGCACCAACAGAAAAAAATGATCGATAAAAATATGTAAGCAAAAGGAAGAGAAAGCATTTTAAACTAGAGAAGGAAATTTTAGAGAAAGAAAAAAAAAAATTTTAGAAAGCAAAAAAAGAATAACTTGGGAAAAAGACAAAAATAATAATAAAAAAATTGAAAAAAAAATAGAGGGAGGGCTAGCTTAGCTTTAAAGGGCTACTACACATTTTGCCAATAACATATTTTGCCAGTAAGGGTAAAAAGCCACGTTTTGCCAATAAGTTTATTGGCAAAATGTGGGATTCTAGCTTTATTGCCAAAATGTGGAATTGGCAAAATGTGGCACTACAGCTTTAAAGAAAATGTACTTGCTAATATGTTAAAGCAATGTAGTTAGGGAAAGCAAGAAGAAAACAAAAAAAAGTACTAGTGTGGTTGGCAAGGAACTCTGCTAACTAACTAAAGTTAGCCTGCTAATGAGGGAAAAGAGAGACTTTTTTTTGTTTGTTAAAAGGACTCTTTCGAGGTTATATGCAAATCTTTCTTCTAAGTTTTAGAAAATTTCCTCAGAGTTTTCCAAGCTAATTTATTTTTTAAATTTTGCAGTGAAAGGATAAAAAGTCGTTTTTGGCGTTATGTTTTTTATTTTAAAGATTTTCGAGTTTTGCGTCTTTTGAGTTTTTAAAAATTTCAGTGAAGGATTTTTAAAATTAAAAAATTGAAGCTAGAGCTGATTAGGGGAGAAATGAGATTTAAATTTTAGAAAACGAGAAATGGAGGGCTAAACTAGTAATCGAAAAATGGAGGCTTGAATAAATAGGAGCAGGCCAGTATACCGCGAGCCCAGTATACAATCGAGCCATAACTTCGTTTAAAATTGCCGAATCCGGGACGCCCTGGTATGTTTCGATTCAGCTCGTTGAGGCGCATCGAAACATACCAGGGCCTCTCGGATTCGACAATTTTGAACGAAGTTATAGCTCTGCGGTATACTGGGCTCGCGGTATAACGGGGTGTACCCTGAATAACTAAATACAAAAAATTAACGATGGAAAGAGAAATAAAAATCGGAGTGAAAAAACCAGAATTCTGGAAAATATTAACAGCCAGAATTTTAGGAAATTCTGATTTGAAAAATAATCAGAATTATCTAAAATTATGAATAGTATAAATTCTGTTCTGAAGAAATGATTTTTGTCTAATTTAAAGAAATTAATTTATGCCAATTGCAATTTTCACATATTTCCATATCTGAGAAAAATTTTAAAAATAAAAGAAAACGTTGAAAAATTTAAACAAAAAATTCCTTTTTACCTTATGTCAAATAAAAATAATTTTTTTTTAGCAAATTAAAAATAAAATCCTTTCTAGACTAACAATAAAAATAACTTTTAGAAAAATATCCTCAATAAATGTGTTTATTTAATAAAAGAATTTTTTTAAACCTCTTAACGGATGTAATAAAAACAAATGAGGAAGAAAATTAAAATAGTACATACCTCTGATAATTAAAATTCTGTTATTTAATTTTAAAAAATCAGAATTATTTAATAGCAAATACTATCAGAATTGTTGTTTTAAAATTCAGAATACCTACAAATTAAATAAAATTCAAAATTCTGATTTACTATAAATAGAAGAATCAGAATTCTGAGCAGAATCAGAATTTCTGAAAAATCAGAATTCTGAGCAGAATCAGAATTTCTGAAAAATCAGAATTCTGAGCAGAATCAGAATTTCTGAAAAATCAGAATTCTGAGCAGAATCAGAATTTCTGAAAAATCAGAATTCTGAGCAGAATCAGAATTTCTGAAAAATCAGAATTCTGAGCAGAATCAGAATTTCTGAAAAATCAGAATTCTGAGCAGAATTTGATTCGAAAAATAGTCAAAATTACCTATTTTAAATCAGAATTATATAAAAAATCAAAGTTCTGATTTGCTAAAATTAAAAATAAAATTTGGGATAGGAGAAAATTTAGTATCATTTTATTATTTCTGAAAGAATTAAAAATAAAACAAAGAAAAATTAATTTAAAAAATATCTGAAAAATAAAACATTTTTTGCCTTTAAATTAAAAAAAAATATTTTTTTGGTAAAAACGAACAAATAAAAAAGTTTCATAAAAAATATATTAATTAAAATCAAGTTTATTTTCTAAAATTTTAATTTTCATCTAATAGGGCAAATAGGTCGTTGCAATGTTGAGCGTATTCCACTACTTCCACCTCCACTACGTCTTCCAAGAAAAATTCTTTTTAGTGCAACTTGATAATCTTAAATTATAGGTATATAACTTTTTGAAATAAAAATCAGAATTCTGATTTGACAGAAATAAAAAAATCAGAAATATCGAAAAATCAGAATTCTGATTTGCCAAAAAATCAGAATAAAAAATCATAATTCTAAATCAGAATAAAAATCAGAAAAATCAGAATAAAAATCAGAATTCTGATTTACCGAAAATGAAAAATCAGAAATATCGAAAAATCAGAATTATAATTTCTGACTTGCCGAAAATCGGCTCAAAATCAGAATTATAAATCAGAATAAAAAATCTGAATTTTAAATCAGAATAAAAATCAGAATAAATTCTCCAACTAATTTCAGAATAAATTTATCAAATACCTCTATTAAATACAGTATAAATTATTGGATTCATTGCAGAATTCTTTAAAAATAAAATTAATTTTAAGGTTTAAAATTTATTTACTGAATATCCCAGCCATGTTATAAACTGAAAAATTTAGAAAAAAATTTTTTTAATTTAAATTTTTTATTAACCATTTCGATATGTGGATTAACTGAACAGTAAGCACAAAATTGTACAAAAACATACATTCTAAATTTAAAATTATTTCTTAATTATTCTCTGATTATAAGATAAAGAAGGGACCCAAGACAAGAGTTCGTTCAAAAATTTATAATATCTCGATAGATAATATCTCAAATAACTTTAACATTTTTGAATTTGACTTTATAAGATTTCAGTAGAGTTAGTTCAACGAGAGACTTTAAAACTTACACAAAAAATGGAGTCCAACAAAGAGTAAAACATCCAAGTATAATACCCAAAACTGTAAATATAGATAATAATTAATTTGTATCAGGTCTATAAATCGGGGGTTTTGGAATTTTTTAAATTAAGAAAGCCCACAAAAAGCCCTAATATACACAAATTATATTTAATCTTTTGTTAGGCATATGGGTCTAGTATAAAGCTAGTCATTAGCTATCAATCTTTGTCGGCACCAGTGTTCACAAGCTCGTACCAAAATTCGTACTCGTACTTAGGTACGACATACGAGTAAAAGCAAAGAACTAGGCAGGTATGAAGTATGAATACGAGGCTAAAATTAAGGGTGGTACGATGTAGAGTACGAGCAAACTTGAAAATTATGAACACTGATCGGCACCTGGGTTGACCGATTATTCATGCCTATTGCCAACCCCGTTATTCTTGTATTTATCTTATGATAAATTGTTATTCTAGTCTTTATACCCTTCTACATATTAGTTCTAAGGCATCAATCTCTTTAGGGCATAATTTCCTATAGTTTCATTAAAAATCACCGCGAACTCCCCTCCGCTCCTTAGCTGCGCTTATAGTTCTAGGCCTTGTTTGGAGGCTTTTGCGAAGATTTAGCTCCTTTCTAAAAAATATTAACAAATTTCCAACAATTTATAACACCAAAAAAATACCTTCTTTTATGCCTCCTAACTTTTTCATAAGTGGGCATTGCTGTTGAATTCCCCCCAATTCTCCCATTTTTATTTTTTAAAATCATTTGTTGAATTTTTAAAGGGTTATTTAAATCTTCTGTTGTCCCTTCACTATTTCTCTTTTTTATTAAAGCTTTAATTAGTATATTATTTGGCTGTTTTTGTGTTGGGGAAATTTTTGTTGAAGAGGAAGAATCTTCTTCTTCAATACTGCTTTGTTTACCGAGTGAATTTTCTACTGTAAAAATTTTTTTATTAAAAATTAGGGTAATGATAGATTGATTAGAAAAAGAGTATTTGATCTGGTTGAAGTGAGAGAGTTAAAAGATTACCCAAAGGTCTGCGATCTTCTGGCAGTTATTTAGGTGCGTTTGGTCATCAAATGCTCCTCTACCGACTGAGCTACCCGGGGCTGCTTTCACCTTTACTTCTTATAGATTTTAAACCTCTGCCTAGTAAGCATTTTAAATGATAGCTAGAAGCTGCATTTCTTAAACCCACAATCTTCCTCAAACTTATGAGTTTTTTAAATAAATTAAAGGGAAGATAGCACGGATGTTGCAAAAAATACTAAAAAGAGAAAATAGAGGTTCGGAATAGCTAAAAAAGGCGGAAAACAAAAATACGGAAGTTAACAACAGAAAGAGTTTAGCAAAAGTTTAACAACCGGGCAGGAGGATTGAACCTGCGACCTCATGACAGTTTTTGCTAGGCGCTTCGCTCAACACATACAGGAGCTCTACCATTAAGCTACCGAGGCATCGACCAATTCTCTCTCTTTTATCCTTTTAGATCGTTTAACCCCCGCCTAAGCGTTTTAAATGCTCTAGGTGAATCATCCTTACACAACATCCCTTATAGAAAGGCCTTAATGAGACTTCTATTTCTAATTTCCCCAAGAAAACGTGCCGTATCCAAAAGATTTCCATTGCTTTTTTGACTGCAAAAGCATTTTCCTTTTAGCTGTTGTAGGCGTTACAGGAGCATCTTCTTCATCTTCAGGTATGTCATTTGGATGTTTAAATGTTACTTTTGGAGTTTGGGGAGAACCAGTTTTTGTTTGCCCGTTGACACGGCTAAGTATTGCGTTTGAAGGTGAACTCTCTTTAATATTAGAGCAGTCCTTTTCTTTCCTCACAGGCTGATTTGAATAAAAAAAAATTTATTTCGAGATTTATAAAACTTAGAAAAATGGAAATAACGAGAAATTCTAGGGATATTAAAAAATCTAAACAGTAACACGATTATAATATCGTGGAGCAACTTTTTGGTACCCAATATTTGAGGATACTTTCGATTATATTAAACATAATTTCTGAGGCTATTAGACCTTGGATGGTACAGTTAATTTTAATTAGAGGGGCCAGCCCTAATTAAGAGAGATGTTGATAGTAATGCGTGCGGTGAATAGAGTTCCCAGAGGTAACGCAAGCGAGCGGGGTGAATGATATTGGTTAACCACTTGGTCAGGCTTATAGATGACCGAACACTAGGCCATTCATTAATAGAGAACTAAGTTGGAATGAACATCAACTAAGCCGCTTTTCCCTATTTTCCTTCTCTCTAGGCGGGGTTTTTATTAGTTTCTCAAGGATTACACCTTTAATCCTTATAGTACTACTATAGGATATAGGCAATATAAAAGGGCATATCGAGAGAGTTACCTCTTCATTATTCGAAGAATCAGCACTTTTATCAGATTTGTCACTCTTTTCGGCAGAATCCTCAATACTCACATCCTCTTCTTCCTCATAAATTATAGAGTGTTGTAGAGGAAGGACTGGAACTGCTGTAGTGGAGTGTGCCCTCCTTGTATCTCAAAATATTTAGCAAATAAAAAATAATTTAAAAACGTTTTGTTCCAAATACGGGAGTTACTTTTAGCCTTATAACCAAAAATAACTTGAACTTGAAATTGAAATCAAGGGGTCTTAGACAGTCGGATAGATCAATAAAATATTTCAAAATTAGATCCATATGTGTAGGTAGACCCTCTATTTAGGATACAGCAATTTCGTCAGATTCATGAGATTAGGGGTATCGGTTCTGGGCCGAACCGGAGAACCGATGATTTTTCGGTTTGGATATTCCAAAAATCGACAACTCTAATCAAGATTATTTCTAGTTAGTTCAAAAATAGGGTCAAATTGTTATAGAGATATAAAAGCGTGAATATATTTCCCCCAATCGACTAGACACTATAGCTATGGTTATAACGAGAATGAACTTTATAGGGTAAATACCATTTTCATTAAGATTTCTACAAACACATTCCTCATCCTCGAAATACGGAGGTCTATCCACAACCTCCTCTTCATCGTCATCGTCTTCATCGGCATCTTTTGCAAATTCATCAGACTAAATAAATTTTAATTTTTTAAAATAATTATTTTTAATCTCACAGTTGGCAAAATGTGACTAATTTCATGAAGAATGGTCGATTCGATATGCCTTCGAATTACCTAAAAATATTAATTTTGGGAAAACAGGAAGTACTAGTTCAACAAGAATTTTAAAAATTAAAAAATAGGGCACCTCTATTTTGTCTACTATAGAGAGAGAAAATCGTTCACTATATAGAGGGTTTACATAATATAGAGGTTATTCTATATAAGAATTCTTCAGATGATGTTAAGAGACCCTTAAAAAGTCCATTAAATAGAGAGTACACAATATAGAGGTCCAAAATAGTCTAAAGATTAAATTAGAAAGAACAATGCACAATTACAAACCACAGACAATTAAGAGTATGTATAATTAAATAAAGCTGTGCGCAAGTAAAATCACAAAGAAATCTTTTGATCCGTTATGTCTTTTATTGTCTCTCTCATCTAATAATTACACTCATCTAATCAAATCCGGAAATCCTATATTAAATTTGAGAATTGTTGTCTGTTTGTTTGTTTGTCCGCAGCTTTGAATTTTGCTGTGTTTGGCGTAGTGTTTATTTTTTAATTAAAAATGACAAAATATCCCAAACAGAAGATAGTGTGTATTTAGAGAAGTAAAGAAAGAATGTGAATTTTTTAGAATTTGTTTTGTCTTTTTTTGTTGGAACTTCTTAATTTTTTGTTTTTTGAACTTTTTCTTTTAATCAATCTTTTAAGTTTTTATTTTGTTATTCGTCTGATAGAAGAGTGAGTGAGGGAAGAGTTCCAGTAATGTTGAAAAGAAAAGGGTTCCGTAAATGGGCGAAAAGAGTCTGGAAATTGTTGAAATAATGGTGAGCGAAAATGGTCCCGTAACTGGGTGAAATATGTCTGGCAATGGTTGGAATAATGGTAAGCGAAAAGGGTCCCGTAAATGGGCGAAAAGAGTCTGGCGATGGTTGGAATAATTGTGAGCAGAAAGGTTCCCGTAACTGGGTGAAATAGGTATGGCAATTGTTGGAATAATGGTTAGTCCCGTAAATGGGTGAAAAGGGTCTGTCGATGGTTGGAATAATGGTTAGTCCTGTAAATGGGTGAAAAGGGTCTGGCGATGGTTGGAATAATGGTTAGTCCCGTGAATGGGTGAAAAGGGTCTGTCGATAAGGGTCTGGAAATGGTTGAAATAATGGTGAGCGAAAAGGGTCCCATAACCGGGTGGAAAGGGGGTCTGGCGTTGGTTGGAATAAGTGTGAGCAGAAAGGGTCCCGTAACTGGGTGAAATAGGTATGGCAATGGTTGGAATAATGGTTAGTCCCGTAAATGGGTGAAAAGGGTCTGGCGATGGTTGGAATAATAGTAAGCGAAAATGGTTCCGTAACCGGGTGAAAAGGTTCTGGCAATGATGGGAAGAAAAGATTTCGAGCAATTAGCAACAGAAAAGACTTGATAAAAGGGTTCACAATAAACAAGGTAAAAGAGTCCGTCAATTGGAAAGAGAAAATAGTCGTTCAATAGGCTTTAGAAAACGGTCACACAATGGGTACGAAAAAAGCGGTAGTGACTGAGATAGAAGATTCTGACAACGGTTAAGTGACAATGGTTGTTAATAGTTAATGTTGTTAATAGTTGATAGTTAATAGTTAAAATTAATATTTGAAGGTTGGTTAATAGTTAATAGTTGTAAATTAATATTTGAAAGTTGGTTAATATTTGTATATTAATATTTGAAAGCTGGTTAATAGTTAATAGTTGAAATAGATATTAATAGTTAATTGTTGAAAATTGAAATTTAATAGTCGAATCATTGTTAATAGTTGAAAATTGATAGTTAATAGTCAACAGATATTATTCTAATAGTTAATAGTTGGAAGATGAAAATCTTGGTTAATAGTTGATTAATAGTTGAGTTAATAGTTGAGTTAATAGTCGACGAGTGAGATTTTATGTAAGATGTTTTAATTTAAGTTTATGTAATGTTTATAATTTGGCTAGCGGAAGGGGCTCGCCCGAAGGGCGACCCCTCCGCTAGTATTTAATAATAAATCTTTTAAATCAAGTGGTTAGAGAAAAGCGAGAGAGTGTATATTATATAAGAGAAAAAATCCGGAAAAGACAACACTTGTCGATCACCAAACAAAAATAAATTCGAAACATACCCTCGATGAAACGGCCAACTAAATATTTAAAAAGTACAGAAGCAATTAAACTAAGGATTTTAGGAAAAGTTTTTTTTATTTTTTTTTGGAAAATGTTAAAGGTCACTGCATTTATTAAGCAGAAAATATTTAAAAAGCTTGGGGAAAAGAGAAATATCCGACCTTTTGCCTGTAAATTTGTCTCGCTCGATGTTTAGCAAATGCCTGATAAATCTGAGAAAAAGAATATTTTTTTCAGAATTTTATAAACGAATATACACCTTGAAGTAAACGAAGAACATTAATAGAGTTGGAATAAAAAAGGAACCAGTAGCAGAGTAAACAGTGTAGGAGGGTAAATCGAGGAATGTGCCTAATAGAAAATTATTTTTTTATGTACATATCTTTTGAGCTGATTCCCTGATATGTTAAAAATCTGAATATGTCGAACCTCGATGTAAGCTACAACTTGGAGGCTTAAAATTTTTAGATCGGGTTTATTGCCTAGTAGGGTTGGTCCCCGACGGGGAGGGGGGGGGTGAGGGCCACGTGAAAAGGTTTTCGGGAGGCAGCGCCACAGGGGGGAAGGATGGAGACGGGGGGAAAATTTGTAAGGGAAATTTCGGAGAATCAAAAAATTTTTTGGCCCATTCGGCGCCAAAAATTTACCCAAGCAGTTCCTCCCTCCACTCAGTCTACCTAATATAGGGGGAGGTTATAAGGAGGTTCGACAGTATACTCAGTTAGAGGTAAAGAAAAAAGGAATAGATGTTATATTTTCTTCTCTCACATTGCCAAGTTCCATTCAATTCCACTAAATTTCCATGTTCAGCAACTTGTTTCCACCCAAGTAGAGGGGCTAAACTTATCAATGCAGAGAATGACCACACAGTAACAATCATTATACAGGCTGTTTTTTTGTTTCGTTTATTTAGGTAAGCAACTGGAGAAGTTATTGCCCAATATCTGAGAGAGAGAGATACAGTGATCTGAAAAATCTAATAATCACCTATCGAGCCCTACAATAGAAAGATTCCAGATTGAAGCTGTAGAGCAGAGAATATCAGCTGAAAATTCTCAGGGTTCAAAATGGTCAATAATCAAAAATTAAAAAATAACCAGATACAAAAATTTGACAAAGAGTATCATTGAAGAGCCATTCGCCTGAAAATTATAGTCCTAATAATAGTTAGGTTATTATTCAAATATTTAATGGGTTTAGGACTGTCGTACCAGTGCTTCGCAAATTGTAATATTATTCGTACTCATTAGAGTTTCACCGAAAGTTCCGGATTTAGTTCCGGAAAGTTCCGGCATTTCTTTTGTTCCGGTAGATAATGGAGATTATGGTTCCGGGATCCGGAACTCAAATAGGGTTTTTTCGGAACCTATTTCAGTTCCGGTTAAAATTTCGGTTCCGGTGAAACTCATGGTACGAGAATGAAACAGAGAATCGAAGCACTGGACGTGACAGATCCAAAAAATTTCTATTCAAATTAAAAAAAAATTTCCCTAACCAGCACAAGCATAAACACTCGATAAAGGGAGTACAATCAGCGCCAAGCAAAAATCAGATAAGGCTAAATTTCCAACCAAAAGGTTGGGAACTGTTTGAAGACCTTTATTTTAATTAATTTTAAATATTTTTTGAAGAAATATAAAAATACGTGGATTTTTATAAAGCACAATAAAAACTAGAAAGTTTGCTAAAATTGTCCACAGCACCAAAAGGAATAAAGCTGAGGCCTAGGAAATTTTTTTTTAAAAAATTTTCGAAAATTTTTTTTGGAAATTTCAAAATCACTTTAAGAATATCTGCCAATAAAAATTTTTGAGAAGAAATAAATTTTAAAGAATTATTATTTAAATTATCTCCAATAAAATCATTTCCCGTTGCTATAATATTTAAAGGTAATTGAACCATTGTTTATTAATTAATAATTTTATTCATTTATTTTAACTAAAAGTTAAAAATTTTTTGGAATAATTTTTGAGGTCTCGATTATGTTGCGAAAATGGCCCGACTCGGACCGAAAGATCGAGTCGGGCCTAAGATATTTGACCCGAAAAAGACGTACAGCCCGATTCGATAAAGTTAAGCCCGGAAAAAATGCCTTGACCGTCGGCCCGACTCGAAAACCGCAACCCTTGTCTCGATTAAGTGAAAAAATCTTTTTTTGGTTTGAAATAAGAACTCAATTTCCGTGAGTTCAAACGGAACACGATGAAGATGTGAATAAAACAACAATACTTTCCCGGTTCCGGATTCCAAAAGGATTCCAGATTTTTCTGGAATTTTTGGATTTTTCTGGATTCCATTCCAGAAATCCAAAGAATTCCAGATTCCAAAACCTTGGACTGCCGAAAATTTTAAAATCTTTGGAACCTGACCAAGGAACGATTAAATCTTTTGGACCAAGAATCCTAATCTTTTTGAATTCGAATTATTTAAAAGACGGGTATTAAGAATAGAGATTTCTTTTAAAATCAAAAAAATCCTTAAAATAAACTTTATGTAAATTTTCCTGTTTTCTTAATTTATTCCAAGTACACTCTACAAACACATTAATGACTGAATTAATAAAATATTCTAAAAATAATTTATTCGAAAATATATTTTTAAATAAAAGTCCAAAGGAGGAAGTATTTATTTATTTTTGTTTTATTTTCCTCCTATTAGACATATAAAACAATTTTAAATAAAGAATTTATATGTATTTGGAATAAATGACGGATTTATAGGCACGCAAAAAATTTTAGAATAATTTTTATTTAGACGAGATGCGGGGCCAATGTGTTGAATGATGGTCAAGGCACGGATTTTTCAATACAGAGTTCAGTTCGAAACATTAACTTTCTGGGCCAAATATGGACATAATTTTTCTTGACTTTAGTCCAGTCTTGCGAACCCTAATATATTTATACTACAAGGTAAGGCTGGGCTTATTTCGCATCTTTCGCATTTCGCATTCTTGCATTTTTTGGTCCAAAAAGTTTCGCATTTCGCTTTTTATTTTTAGGTTTCGCTCAGGTTCGCCCTTCTACCTGGATACAAAATCGAGGACGCGAGGAAAAATCTTGGGCAAGGGTTCGCACCAACTCAAGTGAGATTTTCTCTCATTCCCGAACGAGTTATTGCCGAAGCGCCTCCAAACTTTTGGGTTATTGAGCGTAGAGCCTTGCTTCCAAAATTGACTAAAAAGGAGTAACCATCGGTTTCAAATCTGGTGATCCACCTACCGCTTTTTAAAAGATGACAGGGTTCATTCTTAATAAATAAGTTCAGTTAGGTGTATAACTTGGTCATGCAGTTTTTAAAAAATTAGCTTCCAAAAACCAAAACAATTTAGGTGTTTTTGCCCAAAATTTTAGCTTATATTCTTTCACTTTATTTTAAAAAAAAAGGATAAAAAGGAGAGAAAATAACAAGCATATAATTTATTTTTAAATGTTAAACAAAAAAAGGAAGATTTAAAACTATTATTTCTGTCTCTAATATTTTTTAAGAAAAAGTATAAAGTATTTATTTACTGCTAATTTTGGGATTATGTTGAGGGAAATATGTATATATATTTAACTAAAATCATTTCTTTAATTAATTTAAAAATAAAATGAAGAAAATCAATAGAAAAATTTTTTTTAATTATTTAACTTCGGGATTATTAACTTGTACTTAGAAGAATAAGGAAACCAAAAAGGAATACCTTAAGGGAATAAGGATAAAGGTACAAACCAGAGATGGGCCCTGCCGTATTTTAAAAAAGGAAGGTTAAATGGAAGATGAAAGATGCGGAAGCAGAAGAGAGCCTATCCCTGGTTCGGGAGTAGCTCAACGTATCGCGAGCCCAACGTACCGCAGAGCTATAACTTCGTTCAAAATAGTAAAATCCGGGACGCCTTGGTATGGTTCGATGCATCTCGACGAGCTGAATCGAAGTATATCAGGTCGTCCCGGATACGACTATTTTCAACGAAGTTATAGCTCTGCGGTACGCTGGCCTTGCGGTACGTTGGGGTGTACCCCCTGGCTCAAACAATTATCGTTTCAAGTCGAGCCGTTTCGAGATATTTTAGAGCGATATCGATATCCTATACAAACGATATCCTATCCATTACGAAGGAATGGATTGGATCAGTTTGGCATTTAAATTATTGAGAGAAATACTCTCAATAAAAGATTTAAATAAATATTAAAAATAAAAAATAATTAAAAATTAAAAATAAAAATAGATTTGCTGGTCATTAAAAAAAGAATTTTTTCAAAAAATTAAAAAAAAAATTTTCTAATTTAACATTTAAAAATGTACATAAATTGTTTTGTTTTCTCTCCCTCACACATTAACTTAAAAAAAAGAAAATTAAAACTGTGCCACTTTTATGGAAGCAATTAGCTTTAGGCAAAAAGGAATGACAAAAGTAAAACAATAAAAAAACTTTTTTCCAACAGTTTTAGAATTGGGGAGTATAAAAACAAGAAAATAAAACTTTAAAAATAAAACTTGAATAAAATTTAAAAAAAAAGTTGGTTAAATAAAACTTGAAATGGTTTAAAAAATAAACTTTGAAAAATAAACTTTAACTAAACTTGATATATGTAATAAAGAGTTGGATAAATAAACCTGAAATACAAAACTTGGATAAATTAAACTTGAAAACTTAAATTAAGCTTTAAAAATTAAACTTGGAAAATATTAAAACCTCAAAACTTTAAATAAAACTTAAAACTTAATGTAAACTTGAAATTAAAAATGAAACTTGAATAAAATAAAAAGAGTTGGTTAAATAAAATTTGAAAACTTGAATTAAGCTTTAAAAAATTAAACTTGGAGAAAATTGAAAAACTTTAAAAGTTCAAACTTAACAAAAACTTGAATAAATTAAAGTTGAAACTTGGAGAAAATAAACTTTAAATTAAAAGTACAACTTAAAAATAAATAAAAGCTTTTCAAGTTTATTTTTCTTGAGTAAATGCAGGCAATTAAAAAGAGTAAAAAAACAAACAGGAATAAGGTCAATAAAAAGAACAAAAACAAACGGAAACTTGAAAAATTTAAAAAAGATTTTAAAAGGAGGAAGATTCAAAAGAAGGAAAAAACAAAAAATTAAATCGTGAATTAAATTTTAGATTTTTTTTAAAGAATTTCTAGCAAAAGAAAATCAACGTCCTTACTCTAGTTTTCGGGATCCGATCCGGTTCAAACTCTAATAATTAAAAATATCGGAATTTATATAGATAATTTGAAAGGCCGACGTTAGTTGAAAGACTCTCCCAATTTCATCGGCCTTTTGGGAAGGGATGGAAAAATAAATAAAGCAACTGGGCAGGTAAAATAAGCGTGGTTGCAAGTTAGGTGACCTACCAGCGCCCAACTTTTCTCCCATAATTAATGAAAATAGGGTAAATTAATAAAAACCTTTATAAAATTCGAAACAATTTTAAAAATACAAATTCTTCCAAACAAAAATTAAAAAATAAATTTAATTTAACGTTAAATGCTCTTCTCATTTTCTTCCAGTATTTTTTAATTGTTTTTAGAAAAGTTTAGAGAAGAGCGGAAATGTTTGTTTTCTCTGGAAATGACAAGACGAGAAAAGAAAAAACAAATTTTTGTCACCTTATTTGTCACGCAATTTCTTTTATTTTATAGAAAATGGAAGAAGCTACAACTATAGAAATTGGTGGGTGGTCTAGAAAGAGGAGGGGTTTTAAAAGGAGAAATTAGTAAAAAAATTTTCTTTGAAAATTAGAAAAAAAAATTTTTTATTTTAAAAATTAATTGAAATTTAAATTAAAAATTATAAATTATGGTAATCTAATTCCCTAAATTTTACACTTTTATTTTTGAGGATTAATTAAGTATAAAGTAGGTGATAAAAATGATAGAAAGGAGTTAATTTCAGAAATATAAGCTACCGTATATGCTCGAATAATTACCTTGGGTAATTATTGTCTCAATCTCTCGCTAGACGGGGCAATTATTTGAGAGAGGGTAATTATTCGAGCATATACGGCAATGATATTAAATTACAAATTTATGGCAGAAATAGTTTTTGGCGAGGCAACGCAAGGGGGAATAATTGCTTCAGCGTCGCTGATAGGGGAAATATTCCTTCTTAAGCATTGAGAATTCTGGAAGATTAAGAGCAGCGGTAAGTCGGAATTCCGATTTCCGACGCCTTCCAATTTTCGAAAAAAAATTTAATTTCAGATTTCCGACACCCCTGACTGTTTTGATCCACCTCTGATCAAGAAGACAATTTTCTTCTTTTTTTTAGCAACCGACTTTTGAATTTCCGGACTTTTTGTTTCGGATATCAGGAATTGCCAGCCCTATTTATACATATACATATTAGAATCCACAAGAATTCCTTGACATTATTTTAAATTAAAAAATAAAATTGATGAAGGAACAAAATAAGACTAATACCTAAATTCTTATAAATTTTATTATTTAATAAATTCAAATTTTTTATTCGAAAAATTAAATACCTAGTAAGCTAAAGTTTTAAGAAAATTGTTAAACATTAATATTAAATTAATTTTAATTATTTTACAGCAAATAAAATTATTTTTTAAATTTAATATTAAGCAAAAAAAAATAAAATTTAATTAAAAATTATTAGAGAGAGAAAGTCATAAGAATAAAATAATTTCCCTCAAAGTTAAAAAAGAAATTTGCCTTAAAAATTTGATAATAAATTTTAAAAATCTCAGTTTTGTCCCAAAGAAAAATTTTTTCCTTTAAAAAAGATTTTGCCCAGTGTTTAGTAAAAAATAAAATTTCTGGACAAAACGCGCGCCAGTCAACCATGGATATGAACACCTCCCCAAACATTATAATAACATTCTCTTCCTTAAACTGTGTGGAAAGTCTAAATGAGAGGAGGAGGTGAAAGGAAGGAAGGAAATGAGAGAGAGAATGAGGGGAATCGATGGGTTAATGAAATTCCCTGTCCTTTTTTATTTCTTGGGGCGCTCAAGCTAAACTTTTGTTAAGTAAAAAAAGAAAAGGGAGGCTTATTAGCATCATTTGACACTGCGACTCTTTTAAAAGTAAAAAAAATAAAAGAAAAAAGTGCCAGAATTGTAGAAAATGAATAAATTGCGCGAGTCTAAGGATTTGCATAATTATAGATGTACTTAGTATTTATTTTCAACTAATAGGAATAAATAAAGACAATCCTGAAGATCGAAGCGGTGAACCTTATCTATTAATCGTATCTGATCTCCTTCGTTTTCCAGCTCCAATCCCTTCGCCTACACATTGTACATTTCTAAAGCGTATAAACTTTATTCTTGTGCACTTAAACTAATTCCTCTACAGGGTGTTAGAAAAAGTATAGGTAGGCAAAATCGACTTAAATTTGGAGGTCGAATTTCGACCTACACTCTGTCAGAAAATGATGGTGTACGGAATTTTGGTCACTGGAATTTTGGTTACCACGATTACTGGAATTCGGCTACTTTCAAAACGCCTACATTTGGAGGTCGAATCTCGATCGGCTACTTTCAAAACGCCTACATTTGGAGGTCGAATCTCGATCGGCTACTTTCAAAACGCCTACATTTGGAGGTCGAATCTCGACCTATTACTGAACCCTAATCAAATTTTCGAATTAAAATAATCCCTCTACAGGGCTTTAGAAAAAGTATAGGCAAGTAAATCCGAACCCCTAATCAAATTTTCGAATTAAAATAATCCCTCTACATTGCTTTAGAAAAAGTATAAGCAAGTAAATCCGAACCCCTAATCAAATTTTCGAATTAAAATAATCCCTCTACAGGGCTTTACCATCTATATGTGTTACCATGCGCTACCATATATGTGTTACCATGTGTTACCATACCATGCGCTCATGTATCAACTACTCACCGTATCATTAACGAGGTTACACAAACAAGTTTCTCAATGATGGTTCACCTCCTTTGCAAATTACTACTTGTCTGATCCGTTTTGCCCATTGGAGATATATGTAAGAAGATCGGCATACATTAAAAGAACTCCCTGAAGTGATTCAAAGTGGTTACGGTCTTGAAAGCGTAACTGATCAATGGAAAAATGCGACAAAGTATCAGTCACAATTTTGGAAAGATACTACCGCTCGCATTCCATTATAACTGAATACTTCGACTATTCATCATACGAAAAACACGGCGAGAGTTGGAAATAAATCTTCCGGTACTTGGAATAAATCTTCCGGTAAACGGCGTTCCATTCATACTTCTAAATGTAAGAGGAACGATCGAACAAGACGTCGTATCATACTTGCTATCTTCACCAGAACAAACTGAAGCGCGATTACCATTGCAAAAGCACTGGAGCACCGATCCTCAAGGTGATGCCATCATTTCTTTACACGTTCCAATGCGAAAGAATAAGAGAAAGACTCCAACAAGAAAATCTAGAAGTAATAGTAAACTCTGAGATGCTTTTCAAAGCCGCGAGCACCGTTTAATCATTCTTGTAACAGCACGCACTAAAGCGCCTGGCTCAGCAGCTCGCGCAGACACATCTGACTTTTTGAAGGATAGTTGTCCAGGGCACAGAGCGGATTAATTATTACAAGGAGAAACTATACAAGAAGGAGGGCCTATACAACTATACAAGGAGAGCCATACAAGAAGGAGAAACTTGGAGAAGATTCACCTCCATAGAAAAACAACACACCCATTGTTGGTGAACGCTATTTGGAAGTAATAGAAAATGAAGAACCAACACGCGACAAAGACTGGAGGCACAGGCTAGGGGCAGATGGTAAAGCTGTAAATTGCGGGTTAAAAATAAAATGAAAAATAAAATTAGAAATTTGGGAAATTAAGTAAAGACCAGGGGACGGTCTCCCACTGGGCTGGAGGTGTAAGGCGTACCTTGATCCGGCCGGGCAAGGATGGAAAAAAGGAACTAGTGCCTTGGGAAAGGATTGAATATGGGGAGAATGACAAATAAGGGCATAGGATAAAACTAAGTGGAGAATAGTGAAAGAGCGATATGTCGACTGGATCACAGTCAGTTGGAAAGTAATCAACAGAAAAGTGAATAACCGGCCGAAGAAGCTAAGAGTTTATTCATTGATAATTCCTTGCAAGCGCATATATTCCCGGGCAAGTCGGTCTCGTAACCGACCAACAGCACCGGACGCATAGAAAGGCCTACCCTCCTCTCCGCAAATACTCACCGGCATCGCCTCTCAGGACTTTAACATCGCACGCAACCAACCCAACATCCCAATACCATCCTGGCCCAGCACTAGCTTTACTACATTTATGAATCTAAAAATCTTAAGAGTTCAACTGAATCTTAATTTAAATTTTGACTTAATTTATTTTACGACCATATTAACCAAAGTTGAAAATAAATATTACAAAACAGAATAAAACAAAAAATATATTTTATATATCAACACAAACAAATTTTCATTTCTTCAAATAAATTCTAAGCGGGAAGTTGAATGGTGCTCCTGAAAAATTATTAAAAATTTAAAACAAATTTTTAAAAATTTAGTAAAGTCCACAACGTAAAGGCGTATCCAGCAGGGCTGGGCGATTTCGCATTTTCGCGTTTCGCATCTTTCGCATTTTTCACATTTTTGAGCGCGAAAAGTTTCGCATTCCGCATTTCGCTTTTTGGTCCAAATGCGAAATTTGTTTCGCATTCTCATTTAGTATTTTTTAGATATTTTGACATAAAATTTTTTAGAGGAAAAGAATTACTTTTGTTAGTAGTTACCCCCCCCCCCCCCACAAGGTTGCACTGCGTGCAACCTTATGGAGGAGGAAGTCGGCAAATCAAAGGAAACCAAAAGGTAAAGACACATTTCATATTCCTAACCACCCTTTTCTTACCACCCCTTGGTTGCAGGGCAGTAGTTAATAATACCCAAATCGCTCCCAAATCGCTCTTCTACCCAAATCGCTCATACCCTTTTCGCTCACACTACCCAAATCGCTCACTCCCTCATCAATAAAACCTAAGCCTATAGGGGGTATTTTTTGATATTTGCCACAAACACCTTTCTTTGGGAAGTGTTTAGGGGTAATTAATCACGATTAATTAGGGTAATTAATCATTCCATTATTAATTTCCCTTTGGCCTTTGTGAGGAATGAAAAAATAATTTTTGTGACGTTTCATGGTGAGACACATTTTGTTAAAAAATTTGACAATATGAAATTTGACATTTTGAAATATTTTTAGTCTTGAAAGAAAAAGTTAAAAGGGACTTTCTAATTTAAAAATAAATTTAAAAAATTAAATAAAAATAGTTTTAATTAAATAAAAATGATAAAAAATAAAATTTACAAAATTTTGCATAAAATATAAAATGATTTTAAAAAATGACCGGAAGTACAAATGTAAGAGGTTTATTTCAAAATGCCAAATTTAAAAATTGGCGGGCATTTCAAAATTTAAAAAATTTCCAAAAAATTTTAAAATGTCAAAAAATAATAAAAATAAATCATAAAATTTAATAAATAATTATAAATTAAAAAATGAGGGATAAAATTTGACAAAATTCTAGAAAAAATTAAAATGATTTTAAAAAATGAACGGAAGTACAAATGTAAGGGGCGGAGCTAATTATTTCGAAATACCAACATTCAAAATGTCTTAACCATTCTTAACCATTTAACTCAAAAACCAAAAACACTTTCTACAATTTAAAATTAAAAACTTTAAAATGGCATTTAATAACGATCAAACTGCACCCTCTGCCAATAAGCGCGCAAGATTTCTCATCCGAGATCTTCCACATTTATTCATTGACACACAAACCGGTGCAGGTGCATTAAATTTGCAAAACTATTATCGACAAATAGACTACGATACATCATTTAACCGTAAATTTAAAATAATGGGGACAACAGGCAAGTTTATTATTGAAAAGCTACCCGAGAATCCGGAGGAACTACTGAGAAAAATAATTCACGATTGTATGGATCAAACCATCGAAGCCTCAAGAAGGCAATCAATTGAACCTGACCGATTAGGAGCTATAATATCTTCACAATTATTAGACAACGACATATGGATCCCAATTAGAAAAATTGAAAATGATACTATCGATAACATTCTCAATAGATTCCAGCTTGTTTCTCAATCTAAGATAGAAAAAGGTTCTCTTCTTGGCCAACCATTCACAGTTAAAATCCAGACACTTGGTATTTCATCATTGCCAAAGAATCAATCAATTAGAGGACGCGCACCCCAAGAAAATTCTGCAATAATTACACATATAAATATTGATCGATTAATAAAGATTTCAAACCCAAACAATTTATGTTTATTCTATGCGCTGGAAATAACAAGAAAATATTTTGCTAAAGAATTGGGCGCTAAATGGAACTTTTCAAGATATTTAAAAAATGGCGACAGACAAATGGATGATGTTTTCAACCTCCTAAAATCAGCAAAAATCCCTCATGATCTTCCTGAATATGATGCTGTGGAATATGTACCAGTTGTTGTCGATTTTTGGAATAATAAATACAAGGATGCAGGCTATAAATTTAAAGTATTTATTTTTGGAAGTATCAGTGAGAAACCTATATTCAAATATGGGAACGATAATTTTAACATGCCTATTTCAATTTTTCACAAAAATAACCATTTTGATGGAATAAGATTTGTTGGAGGTATGTTTGGGTTGAAACACAAATACTGCTTTACTTGTGAAAAAAAGTTTCGAAAGTCAAAGGAACATGATTCGAAATGTAAATCTCTCTGCAGATTATGTGGACGCATTGGAAGTGAACGACCTTGTGTGGCAACAGGAGACTTTTACAAGAAATGTGATGAATGTGGGAAAATATATTTGAATGGAGAATGCTTCAACCATCACAAAAAGATTAGCAATTGCCGCCAAACAAAACAGTGTGATAAATGTGGAGTAATCTGGTCAATGAAAAATTACAAGAGAGAGGCTGAAAAGAAACATGTTTGTGGTCAAAAGTGGTGTCAAATTTGTCGTCAGTTTCACAACGTGGATAGAGGATGTTTTATTCGCCCTTTGGAACTGAAAAAAGGAGTTGATTATCGTCTGGTTACTTTCGATTTTGAGGCCACACAAAATGAAGTGATAAAAAATGATAATGAAGAAAGACGGCTACACAACGTAAACTTTATCGCAGCAACAGTAACTTGTACAAAATGCATGGAAAATGAACAATTATGGCGCTCACCTCTAAGGCAAAAAGGAAATAGTTGTACAATCTGCGGGAACAATCGATCCATAACATTTTCACACCGTCCATTCAATCAAACAAAAGTTGATAAGCAAATCGTCACACAAAACCCGCTTAGATTCTTCATACAATGGATTCTTTTTGAACTTAACCCTCAATATACAACAATGGCATTTTCACACAATGGAGGGCGTTATGATATGATTATGGTGTTCAAAGAAATATATGTAAATGGCGTTGTTCCCTCAATAATTCGTCGTGGTAATAAACTTTATGAATTGAAAATTCCCCGCAACAATAAATGCAATGAGGTTATATTCCGGGACTCGTATAACCTTTGTCCAGTCGCTCTGGGGAAGCTGATTGGTGCATTTGGGCTACAAGTAACTGAAAAACAATTTTTCCCGCATTTGGCAAACATCTCTGAAAATTATGGTAGAACTCTACAACAACTACCCCCGAAATCTGATTACTTATATGGAGGAATGCCCCCTCAAAAGCAAAACGAATTTGATAAATGGTATGAAGTTGAAAAAAATAATCAATTTTGTTTGGATGAAGCTTTGGCTGAATATTGCACAAACGATGTACAAATACTTACAGAAGCATTGATCGCCTTTAGAAAAAAATTTTCGGAGATCAGCAAAAAGAAAACTACACGACCTGGAGCAGTAGTTGAAGGAATCGATATTTTGAAGGATGCAATGACAATTGCATCGGCATGCATGAAACATTTCCGACTCAATCATCTGCAGCCTGAACATTTGGCAATTGTTCCCGAAAAGGGATATGAAAATATTGATAATCAAAGTGAGCTTGCCCTGAAATATTTACAATGGTATGAAGAAACAAAAGGAGTGGAAATACAAAGTGCACATTCGGAAAGTGGCGAACATGTAGTGGATGGAAAATATAAAGTAGATGGATATATAGCGGCAGAAGATAGGGCAATTGAAGTAAATGGCTGTGTTTGGCATGCATGCCAAAAATGCTTTGGAGATGATTTGAACAAAATATTGCCCAATGGAAAAACTGTGGGAGAGACACGTGAAGATGATGGGAAAAGGATGGAAATAATTAAAAAATATATAAAGAATGTTGATATTATATGGGAATGTGAAATTCATCAGATGCTTCGTCGCAATCAGAAAATGAGGAAAGCTTTTGCAAATTACCACAACAAAGGACCAATCAATATTAGAGACTGCTATTTTGGCGGGAGAACTGGACCACTACACATGCACTTTGACGCAGAAAAAGAACAACACAAAATTGCCTACTTAGACTTTAATTCACTTTACCCCTCAACAATTGCTACAACATCATTTCCTGTTGGGCATCCGAAAGTGATTGTTGTACCATTGGCTGAACAAAAAGTTTATTGGACAAGAAGTGAGCAGATTCCGTTCAAAGGAATTTTAAAAGTGTTTTTGCTACCACCGCCTCAACTGGATGTTCCTGTAATTCCAGTTAAGTTTGATGAAAGACTTCTATTCCCACTATGTAGAAAATGTGCACTCATGTACCCAAATGGCGCAAATATCAAAGATTACCATTGCCCGCACAATGATGAGGAGAGAGGCTGGGTCTCTACATGTACATCACTTGAATTGGAAGAGGCATTAAAAGTTGGATACACAGTTACAAGATTTTATAGAGCTTTACATTATGAGAAATGGGATGAAAATTTATTTAAAAATTATGTGGCCGAATTTATGGCAATGAAAATACACGCAAGCGGGTTCCCTGAAGGAATAGAAGGAAAAGAAAATGAGGAAAATTTTATAAAAGAATGTAAAGAAAAATTTGGAATTGAACTTCAAAGAGAAAAAATGGTTCCGGATCAGGCAATGCGCTACATTTCAAAATTAATGCTTAATTCGTTATGGGGAAGGTTCAGTTTACGGAATGGCCTGTCAAAGAGTTTAATCATCAACTCCCCCAATGAACTACGTGAGTTTGACAACAATAAATCAATTGAAATACAATCTGCTGATGATCTAACTGAAGATACTGTTCTATTGACCTATAAGCCAAGAGAAGAATTTATAATAGAACATGACACTTCAAATATTGTGATTTCCTTATGGACAACGTCGGCAGCAAGAATTAGATTATTAAAAGCAATGCAAACTGTAGCAGGAAAACTTGAC